CTGGTCAATATAGTGATTCAATTTTATTTGATTTTACCACTCATATTGATGTCCGGTAAAGTCAATAAATCGTGTCAAATCTAAAGATTTTGGCTACAGCTCATTGTACTGGGTGGCGCAAAAGTACTGGCACTAAAGAAAATTTGTTTATTTTTTTTATATGACATTTCATTTCATTTCATTCTGTTGTTGAAAATTGTGTTGTGAACAAATGTAAAATACGCTGAAAATAAACATGGACCGTTTTAATCCCCAAGAACGTGGAATAATCGTGTCAATGTTCTTACGGAAAATCTTTAAGTCTTTCACCAAAATACGCTGCAGGGTCCGTCTGGAAATGCTCAATTGCGTGGCACGTCGCCTCGTTGGTGTTTCTGGACACTCTTCCACATCTTCGCGCACAGCATCGATATTTTCAGCTGAACGTCCTGTTCTTGGTCTCCCAGACTTAGGTCTATCCAATGTTGAGCCAGTTGCTTCAAGGCGTGTGGCAAAGCGTCGGATTGTGCGACCAATCGGTGCCGGACGGTGGGGAAATCGTCGACGAAATTCACGTTGTGTTTTTGTCACTGATGAATTATTCCGTAAGAACATTGACACGATTAATCCACGTTTTTGGGAAGTAAAACAGTCCATGTTTATTTTCAGTGTATTTTACATTTGTTCACTACACAATTTTCAACAACAGAATGACAGGAACTGTCATATAAAAAAAATAAACAAATTTTCTTTAGTGCCAGTACTTGTGCGGCACCCAGTATAACGCGAATTAGATAGCAATTGAAAACAAAACCGCATCAAGCCTGGATTTAAACGAAGTCATTGATACTTTTGCGAAAACTAAAGCTAGGAAAAAATTGTAAATATAATTGTTATTTAGTCAGTTGGTAGGCCCGACCTTTATATAATAGACCCTTGAATCTTCTGTATTTCATTTTATTCGCCAAAACTACATCAAGTATTAATTGTAATTTACGTTGTTACTATTTAATATTTTTATTACCTGCCCTGCACAAATTAGAGCTTACGTAGCTTAGCATTTTTAAATTATTTGTATATTTCATATTTTAATTTGATAAATCCTAATCAGTTTACATAGCAGTGGGGCCCCATTTTTTAATTTGCCCCAGGGCCCTTGGTCACCTAGCTACGCCACTGCTAACACACCTTGCTCTTAATCTACCGTCACAAGGTTTTAATAATCTCGAAACAAAAAAAATTCAGCTGTATTCACTCATAATGACTCATAATCTATGTTTTATAGTGCGTTTTCCAATTACAGAGCATTTTTCGACTCAGTGCCGCACAATGCCGCATAATGCTGAAGCTTAATTGGAACGTGAATTAGTTTTCAAATGCATCAGCAGAGTGCGCTAAGTCAGTGTTGACAAAAAAAATGGTCTGAATAGAGTTAGCAACCTCATTAATGTATAAATAATGTGGTAAACAATAATAATTGGTTGAAAACTTTTTACGCTTAATTTAATAATCAAATTATTTCATTAAATTTTTTTTACTGAAATAAGAGAAAACCTTTAAAGAATATAAGGTTTTAACAAGCTAAATTAACAGTAAAATATTTAGTTTCATGTAAGAAGTTTACATCATTTACGTTTTGAGTAATATTTTTTAATGATTTCTAACAAAATATATACTTTTTCAAAACCATTGCAATTTTTTCTAAAGTATAATCCTGTAAAGTAAATTTGTTTACAGATCCGAATTTAAAAATAAAATTGTATTCATATTTTAAATATGGAATATAAAAAAAGTAACTATTTATACCTTCATCCATACTAATATTTATTTTTTTAGCAGTTTGAAATAACTTTAATTATTTTCAAAATCTACGACGAAACGAAAGCCTTACAAATTTTTCAACAATAAATAATATTTACTAACGAAAATTTCGATAAATGCCAACTTAAAGAAAAATACTGGTCAATTTTCTGTCACTGTGTTGGTATTGTTTGCGAGAGCATTCGTTTTGAGAGTGCTCAATTGTGCGAAGCGTTGCTGTAGTTGGAACACTCAACGTTGAGCATTATGCCGCAAAATGCGCTCTAGTGCTGTAATTGGAAAACGCACATAATATAACAACCAACCACAGTGGAAATTTAAATAGTTCGCCTGTTTCCTCGAAATACTTATAATCGATATTATATTAAAATCGATTAGAAAAGTACAATCTCGCCTACGTTAACTCGCAAAATAAATGTATACCTATTTAAAAATAAAAAACACGCTCGTCTAAATATATCGATTATAAATAAAATTTGAAAATTAACGTTAAAAAGTTAAATACGTACCTACTTATTTTCACGATTAAACATGACGAAATCGAGTTTATTTTTATGTGGATGTGAAGCATAGACTCAGCGCTTCGCGTTAAAGGTATGCAACATATTTTACGCTCCTATCTAAATTAATACTTTTTTTATTACGGTCAGACAGGCGTTGGAGCGCGGGGCCCCTAAATTCGCGGGGCACGTAGCATTTGCTACTCTTGCTACGTGGCTAATCCGGCACTGACTGTACTTTGTTGAAGATCAACGTCGGTTTCATCAAGCCGCTCAGCTTCATCACGCGCACTACGCAGAGAATCTATCTCAATCCACTGATGATCAGAAGGCATAAGGAATTTGGAAAATATTGTTGATTTTGAAGCCTAGGGAATGAGTAAGGGACGACAATTTTAATATCCTGTAAGAGGTCACTGCTCTGTATATGATTATTGAGCAATTTATGCAAGAAGGTAACACCGGCTAAAGTTCTCCGATTGTACAGTGATAACATATTACATTTTTTAAGTCGCTGATGGTACGGGTGTCTATGTCTATAATCCTCTGCTTATGAAAGCTAGGTGTCGCGTAAAAGATCTTTGAATGCTTTCAACGCGTTGCGAATGGATCGCATATAGTGGATTCCATATAATATTGCCAAATTCAACATGACTGCGCACCAGAGCGTTGTACAAAATTGTTTTAGTCGTACAACCAAAACAATCTGCATTCCGTTTAAGAAATCTAAGCATTCGTGCGGATGTGGTGACTACTTTATTGACCTGTGATGTAAACGTTAATTTTTTGTCAATAATAACACCCAAGTCACGAATCTCCTGCCTTGCGATTCTGTAACTCACTTTTCGAACTCACACAAACTCACACAAAGTGAGAAACAGAATCGCAGGGCAGAACCTACTTCAATGGCGCGCTGTCAAGCTTATACACAGTAACAAGTGGTTTTTTTTCTTGTGTATTTAATATGAAAGCACTTGTTTATATTGAGGATACTACCATTTAAAAAGCACCAATGTTGTATACCATTAAGGTCACTTTGAACTAGAGCAGCATCACAGACAGAGTTAACAACTTTTTAAATCATCAGCGAAGAGAGACGCTTTACAGTGCTTTATATGATTCCTAACGTCGTTTACAAATAGTAAGAATAGCAGATCGCGCAATATAGGGAGTAGACTCAGCGCCTCCAACAACTACTGACTGAGGCCTGTTACGAAGATATGACTTAAACCAGTTCAGCAAATTCTCTCCAATTTCATAACCACGAAGCTTCTGAATCAGTAACGCGTGACTGACTTTGTCGAAGGCATTGCTAAAATCAGTATATATGCCATCAATCTGGCGCCCACGATCTAACTCTTGACATGTTTCAGTCACAAAAGACATGAGGTTCGTTTGAATTGAACGGGCTTTTCTAAAACCATGTTGCTCATCAATGATACAGCCGTCTACACATTTGGAGATTATGGGATACAGGACAGACTCAAAGAGCTTGGAAAAACAAGATAAAATACAAATAGGACGCTAATTTTTTACGTCGGTGATATCTCCCTTCTTATACACAGGTACAACACGAGACCTTTTCCATACTTCATTAAAAACACCATCTATAAGAGATCTATTATAAATAAATAGGGGCAAAGATAACACAAATCTACATCGTTTTACAAATTAATAGGAGGAATCGAGTCTGGCCCAGCTCCTTTGTTAGTATCAAGACCTTTTATTTTCTTAGATATTTCATCTTCTCTAAAGCTAAGGGACATTAGGCCGTCAACATTGCCAATGTCGTCTGGAGCGGAACTGCCAACAAGTGATTCATCACAAGTATATTATACAGATGAAAATTGATATGAAAAAAGATTAGCAATATCAGGTGATGACTGGGCTGTAACATTGTCCATTTTCATGCAAGAGGGAAGCGGTGAGTGACCACCTTTCTTATTTTTTATAAAACTTCAAAAACATTTAGGATTATTAGGAATACTTGCCTCAATATTTCGCTTATATTTAGTGTAGCAATCATCATAAAGTTTGTGACAACGTTTTCTAATAATGTGATACTCTATTTCGTCTCGAGGATTCTTGTATATTCGTTACCTCTTACGTGTTTTTTCTTTTTCAGCAAGTAATTTTATTAAGGAAAGACTGAACCACACCGGATATTTAGATTTCGTGATGGACGTTTTAGGAACAAATTTGCTTATAGTGGTGTTAAGAATTTTGTAGAACTCAGATACCATATCATTGACATTATCAAGAGCGCGTAGGCTATCATTCCAATAAATGGTTTTGATATCCCCTATAATAGACACATAGTTAGCTTTATAAAAATAGTTACTTAGTTTAGTTTATATTATATTATAGTTTAGTTTAGTGTTACCTCTCCTTCGCAAAAAAGATATTTTAGAATATTCAATACTTAACAATAAACTAGGATGATTCGCGTATATTTTTGTGAACGAGTCGGAGGGGGCTGATACATTAATACTATACATATTACTTAATACTAAATCCAAGAAACGATCATCGCTATTACCTATACTATTAAATTTAAATTGCTTTAGGCTATTCATAGACATAAAATCAATCAAGGCAAAGCCAAGTATTTAATTATTTAATGTTAATCCAACATTACGTTAATTTTAAAGTATTGTGTTAGTATTTACATTTTCCAGAAATAATAAATTAATTATTCACTTATCCATTAATTTCTTCTTTCAAAAAGAGAGCAGTTTCATTCCACAAACCATCCATATTAGTATCGTTTATAATTTTGGTCGTAGTTGCCACTTTACAATTCGAAAAATAACTTCCAGACAATGCTTCTATATCTGGAGCCACACAGAGGTGAATACTCGTTTGGGCACCTTCATACGGATTTCTTACTATCAAGGTTGAGCATTTCTTAAGAAATGTACCGATTGGGCCTTTTATGAAACCAACAATATTTGTTGCCACCATGCCTGGGTGTAGACAGAACACTGACACATTTGTGGGCAGCGTCTTGGCCAACGCCTTCGTCCACAGAACAGTACAGAGTTTGCTATTGTTGTATGATTCGACAAAATTATTCTGTTTCAATCCTGCTAAATCTTGCAAGTCTAATTCACCACAGAAATACATCCCAGATGATACGTTCACTATTCGGCTTTGCGTTTTGTTGAGCTTTGCTAAAATCAGTTTAGTTAGTAGATACGGTCCCAAGTAATTAACTTGCATTATCGTATTTATTCCATCTTCTGTAATTTTGTTATCCATCAAACATCCAGCGTTATTAACCAAAATATCCAAATGGTCTATTGTTTTATTAATGTCTTCAGCGAAAACTTTAACGCTTTTGAAATTAGCGAGATTCAAATATCGGTATTCTACTTTTTCGTTGCCCGTGAATCTGATGATTTCTTCGACTGACTTTTCAGCGTTCGTAACATCTGCTATGATGACCCTTGCACCACGCTGGGCTAGATTTTTTGCTGTTTCGAAGCCGATGCCTGAATTTCCGCCGGTCACTAGAACAGTTTTACCTTCTAGACTTGTTTTACAGTTGCACATTACAATTTCTGTGTCTGTTAGAATTTTTAAAATTAATAATAATACATAGAATCCAAATAAAGTTGTTAGTAATAAACAAACCAAAGTTATAACTATTTCAAGACACATGTTTTCGCACTTATGGCAAACTATTATTTAAGACAAAATCTTCGTTACATTTGATTGACTATCAATTATTATATATTGTTACTCTGGAGTTCCGTAAAGAAAAATGAATTTATTGTGCTGAGGGTTCTGTTATTTTATAATCGTATGTAATATAAACAGCGATGTTACGATAAATCAAATATAATTAATAAAGTCTTTAGAAAAATTGATTATCTATAGCAAGGTCAGTTTGGAAATAAGATTACAAATCGAATAATATTAGCGTAGGTACCAATTCCTAAAACTCAAACTCAAAATAATTTTATTCACAGGTAACCAAGAACACTTATGAACGTTAAAAGAAAAAGGTGTTAATTGATTATAAATCCACCATTTAGCATGTCGCGGTTTTTATGAATATATTGATAAGATAGTGTCATAATACGTATTTAAATTCTTAAACTTATTCCGTACCGACTACCTTGGTGAAACAAAATAAATCCCCCGAACAGCCCGCTTCTGCAGCACAAATATGGATTAAACTTCTTCAGCAACACCCCACAGTAGAATACCGTAGGACAAAAAGCGCGTTGCCGGTCTTTTAGGAATCAGTATGCTCTTTTCTTGAAGGACTCTAAGTCGTATTGGTTCGTTTGTTGTCAGAAAAAACACATTTTAAACAAGACAAACAATTTTTATCTACTATTTTTTGTGAGACAAAATTTTAAGCATGTTGAGCAACTCATATTATTGGTAGCAAGATATCCATCCCTACACGTTACGCATTAAGTAATTAGCATTCTAATTAATTAAACAAATATCAGTTTGTGTAACAGCAACAAATGTTTCTCAAGAAGAATACTACTTAAAAGTATTAGTGACGATTAAAAACCATTTATCAATTTAAAAGTTTCGTCCCACAATTGTTCAACCAAATTCTCATTGTTTGCTTCCTTCGGCAATTCTTGAATTTTACATTCTGAATAATAGCCCCCAGTTTCACTATCTAATTGTGGATCTACACATAAATGAATGCACGTTTGGGCTCCTTCCTCCGCTGTTTTGTAGAACCATTTCGTTGCCCTGAGCGATAAAAATTTCGTTAGATATTTTGATCTTTGAAATATGTTTGTTTTAACAAAACCAGGATGAGCGGAGTTTACAGTCACACCAACCATTCGTCTTGATAAAGCTCTCGTCCAGAGAAGAGAGTATAACTTACTTCTTGAATATCTTGCATAATGACTGGCCACATTCTTCATCGGTATGTCGTTCAAATCTATCTTTCCCAATCTATGCAGTATTGAATTTACAACAACTATTCTACTTGGCATTGACTTTTCCAGTTTTTCTTGTAACAATCTTGTCAATAAAACCGGTCCGATAAAATTTATTTGGGCAATAATGTCGAATCCATCTTCAGTAATTTTATTTTTGACACCAGCAATGCCAGCGTTGTTGACTAGAATATCCAGTCGCTGTTCCGTCTTGTTAAACTCTTCAGTAAACTTTCTAATGTTAGTAAATTTAATTAGATCTAGTTGTCTGTGCTCAACGTCATTGTTTCCTGTCGTGTGGATGATATCCCTGACAGCTTCTGCAGACTTGGCGACGTCTCTGCTTGCTATGATCACTCTTGCACCTCGTCTTGCCAGGTCCCTGGCTATTTCTAGTCCGATACCAGAGTTCCCTCCCGTCACTAAAGCCACTTTTCCATCAAGTTTAGTTTTGCATCTGCACACTTCTTTTACTGGTTGGAAGTATAGCCGACAGCAAATTATTAGAAACACAAGTGATAGAAATAGATATATAAAAGTTTTAATAATAATAATAAATATATATATAACGAGCCACATGTTAACGGTGCTGAACCGGTACATTTAATGATACGTTATTCATCAGAATAACTTAAACATTGAAAGTGAGGGAATTTTAATTAATTTATGAATATATTCTAACTCAAGTTTGTCATGTGGCGTTTTGTGAATTTCGTCGACATAGAGGGTTATTTATAAAAGCTTGCAAACGCTCGGGACACTGATACATTGGTACAAGAACAATTAAATATGTACAATATTTAATGTGACTTATAGGCAAACATAACATACACAAAGACATAAAAATAATATAAAAACTAAATGACGATCGATTTCAAAATGTGAAGAGCAACTATGGATATTCAAATAATCAAAATTTAACAATTAACTGCCGTTATTTATTCTTATTATATATTAATTTTATGAATAAGTTGTGATATCAGTTAAAGTACCCTAAGTTGTTATATTATTTATTTAGTTTTCTAGATGACTCGGATGAACTTCGTATCACCTACATATTTGTGTCGAAACTTAATATATATTTTTTTAAACAAACCAAAGAGATCGGACTGCATACTACAGCTATGAAACACATATGTCCGAAGGCACCAAGAATACATGACAACCAAGTGACAGTATTTTTATTTCTACTTCTAGACATCAAACATTTCCCAGGTAAGAACTGTTTTTTTTTTTTGTTTTTTTCGTCATTCCGGATCCAATGAGCTATCGCACATAATTTTAAGAGCAGTATCTCTATTTTGTTCCATTTTCAACTTGTCGACTAGACTATTATTGGCAAAATCAATTGTGGTTTTTATTATTTTTGTTTGCTTATTATATTTTCCCACCGTTGAATACTTCCTTGAACTCCCACAAATATTTCAAGATCATTAGACAAATCGGTATATTCTCGAGTTATAGCAAAACAAACCAACAGCAATTCATGTGTATATATAGATTTGACACAGATTCAGGATAAAATATTCAATAGCTATTTCTGGCATGTTAGTACGTTTATATTAAGGTCTACCAATGGCATTCAAACCTTTTAGATCTGGCCCTGAGAAGTAGGTGATCCATTCTGTGCCGCACTCCGTCGACTTTTTTGGGTCTAGCCGGTTTCGTCACGATGTGTGTGTGCTAGTTTTAGATGCGCACATAGCCATAATGTTCACTGGTGCACGCCGGCAACCGAACCTACGACGTACGACCCCAGGGTTGATAATTGCATTGCATTGAAAAGTAAGACATCATAAAGTGTGTTTTTTAATAGAACGGGACAAACTGAAGGCTCACCTGCCCTGCGATTCTGTAACTCACTTTTCGAACTTACACAGCGGTTTTTTTTGAAAAGGTGGGAGCTTGTAGTTTATTGTTTATCAGAATGCCAAATCATAAAATGACTGCTTCAGGACTGATTTGAGAGCGACCGCCGATGCGAAAACCGCTGTGTGAGTTCAAAAAGTGAGTTACAGAATCGCAGGGCTGATATTAAGTGATGTGGACACTTGGATACTCTCAATGCCTAAGGGCTCGCGGCCTTTTAAGAAAATAAAAGTTTTGTTGCTACACTTACAATATTCCATTAATAAATAATGTTAAATGTTTATTAGACAAGTGAATAATTTTATAAGTGCTATATGTACTATAATACCTAAATCGTCGGAGTTACGCCAGTCATCTAGAATTAATTATTTCTAATTTCTTTTATTGTTGTAACCGACTGCTTAGTATTATAAAAATACATAATTTACATATTTAGTATATGTACAGCTTGCCAGTCAGTGGACTGTAAAATGTGTGTTTAAAATTTATATGTTTTGAATGTTAGGAGTATCTGAATAGTATATGTAATGTATGTATGAGTAAGATGCACTAGATGACTAAATATATGACGGGTGAGACGTAATAACCTAACAATCCTAAGGATCCCTAAGCCCTACAGACGTACCCTAACACATAAATAGTGAATATATATATATATATTCACTATTTATATATATATATATATATCTTATAAATTTAAATAGGAAAACATATTTAACATAATCAAAAACAATGCTCAAGCTTTGTCAATAGCTTTACAATTTGTTGCGCCTGACACTTTAAACATTCTACAAAATTTCTAAACTGAGGAACAAAATAACTTATTTATTCCCAGTTTTCTTATGAAAACTTTTTAGATTCTAAACAAATAGTTTTAGAGTAGCGTATTCACTAATAAAATTGAGAATATCGACTTTCGACGAGTCGAAATTCTCAATTTTATCTACTAATACTGAGAGGTCCTACACATGTAGGTATGTAGCTACCTGCTTAAGGTATGAGAGTTATTATACAAAATAAAAAATATAAATTTACGAATAATGTTACTTTATAAAGTAAATTAAAAAAAATTTTCTTTATGAAAAATTTTATTTGCACCGTTTTATGTAAAGTCCCTGTTTCTTTTCATCATAGTGTAAATATAATTTGTCAGAAAGAGTAAGTACGGTAAATAGTGATTTATTATTAGATTATTACACGATAAGATTACACGGTACCCTGTGTCCCAAGCCTGATAGTTTTCAAAGAGAGAGGTTTATTTTGCCTATCTCCACCTAGGAAAAGAACTATAATAAATAATATTTCGCAAATATGTAACATAGGTAATATTAGGTCCTTACATATGAAATTGGCGTTTTGTATGGGAGGAACAAAAAGTCGAATATTTTTGAATATAATATATTTAATTAATCAAAGTATGAACCATTGTTTTCTATGCACTTTTGCCATCTCATAGGTAGTTCATTGATCCCTTTACTAAAAAAACCAGTCGGACGGGAATCAATAAAATTTGTGAAGGCGATTTGGACTGCCCCATCAGAGTAAAATTTTTTCCCTTGCAAGAAGTTGTCCAAATTTAGAAAAAAATGGTAATCAGTTGGAGCAAGGTCCGGGGAGTACGGAGGATGTCTTAGACATTCCAATTGAAGCTCTTCTAATTTGGTAGCCGTCTGTTGTGCAGTGTGTGGTCTAGCGTTGTCGTGAAGTAGCAGTGGCGTGGAGCGATTGACCAGCCTAGGTTGTTTAGCCGCTAGCTTTTCCATCATGGTTTGCAATTGCTGACAATAGACATCAGCCGTAATCTAGCCAGATTTGAGAAAACTGCAATGAACAATACCGGCACTAGTCCACCAAACGCTTACAAGTAACTTTTTTGGGGTTAATTTTCGCTTGGGGTAGGATTTGGCTGGCTGGCCAGGATCCAACCATTGCGCTGAGCGCTTCCGATTATCGTAAAGAATCCATTTTTCATCACAAAATACCTTCATTATTGTGCCGGTTCAGTAATGTAACGCAGCAGTCGACGCGCGTTTGCCGGTTTGCTTCAGTCAATTCGTGAGGTACCCATCTTTCAAGCTTTTTAATCGTCCCAATTTGCTTGAAGTGAATTAAAACAGTTTTATCACTAACACCGCAGCCGTCCACGGGGCTTGTTCTGCAGGTCGAAATTTCCAGAACGAAAACGTTGGAACCGAAAACGAACTGTGTTTTCTTTTGCAACATGACCGCCATACACATCATTCACTCTTCGAGTCGTTTCCGCAGCACTAGTACCACGGCGGAACTCGTACTCGTAAATAACGCGAGACTTTAAGTTTTCCATTTTGTAAAATGAGTGCAACGCAAACAGAAAAAAACTGAAGAAAAAAACAAATGAATGACCGTCATCGAAGCGCAAATACATGAGTAATTAGCTGTACAAATTTGAATTTGGAATTCCTTACCAAAGAGGAGAACATCGTGATTAAAGTGGCCAGTACGAAATACGCCAATTTCATATGACGTAAGGACCTAATAATATGCAATGTATGCACAATAATGCTTTCTTATTTAGAGAGAAGATAATGTTAAATACATACAGACGAGAATTCCTTTGTCTACGCCTTTAATAGAAATATAGCAAAACATATAAAGAAACTATTTCTTAGAGATTGAAATCCAGCAAAGTGGGATCCCGCGATCCAGCTCAATTTTACGCTCTCCGGGATCCCGCAATATCTTGCGAATCAGCAATACGAATCCGCAAGCATCAGTTGGTTTGCACCGGCTATCAGTGTCCACAATCCGGAAAATTTGAAGAATGAAACAAATGACATGAGGTTTACCAAATTGTTAAAGTAATTATTTAAAAGTTAAAAATGTTGCACATTGTGGCAAGAACCATGCGGCATGGCAACACGATGCGTCATGTAGCAGACTGCCGCAGCTTGTTGACCAGGCGACATTTTTCGTGCGTCAAAAAAGTTTGTAGGTTATGTTTTTATTTTTATTTGTTTTGGAAAGTTTCGGTCATGTAGTGGTGTAACGAAAGACATTTAAACTTAAAAGAAAAGTCCTTAAGGCGTCAGTTGACATTCTGGTAAAGTTTTTGTAGAGGTGTAATTATTGTCTATATAGAAATTTCGCAATTTCATTTGTAATATTGTCGACGTATCGTTATTTCGTAATTCCACTTGCACGTGGATGAATCAGTCGCCCTAAAACTGCCATGTAAGTCAGAGGACAATAAAGACAGTGAATTCTATTTCGGTTTTCATTTGGTGTACCTCTAACACTAAATTTTTAAATAAGGCTCCATCGTCAGCCTTAATTTTTGTTAGGTAACTAGTCCGTGGGCCAAGTAATCTTCTTTTCCACCAACGTTTCTTCTTCCGTTGTTCAGCTGCATGGCTTAGTAGTAATAAATAAGCTGCTGCTAAATTTACTTGATCAGCCATATTCTATGGTGTATCCCTTCGATAAAACAAGTAGGTAGACCAGTAACACTCCATAAACAGCACAATGCTTTGGAAATTATCCAGGCAAGATGTTGCCTCGGCGTAAAATAGGCTGCCGTATGCCTCATATGCCGCAAATGCTTTCTATTTGTAGCATGCCACAAGGTGCCGCGATGTGTAGCATGCGGCACTGTCGCACGTTGTTGCCTCGGCGTAAACCAGCCTTTACAGAGTATCTGACTGAGTCTTTAATTTATTTATAAAATTTAAGTTTATTAATAATGTTTAATATATACTCCATTTCGCAACAAGAAAAACCAAATATAATAAATAAATAATGTATCTACTTATATTATTAAAAATGTATAAGAATAGAATTAACTATGATAAATCTTGCCCTCTCACAACATTGCTGTGCCTAACCAAGGTCCTTATTGTAGCAAAATCATAACATGCCACCTGTAAAATACGAACGTAAGGAATGCAATAAAGATTTTTTGACTTCGACAAATTTATTCAAATTTCTGCCAGAAATCTACTCAGCAACGCGTTTTACGAGCGATGTTGCCGTTCAATCTTTTGTTATGCGCCTGAATTGATTTATACTAAACAGACTATGAGTAGTATGACTGTGGTATGAGTTTGATTCCATGGAAAATGGGCCGGGTGCTGGTATGTGATGCAACCTGTTCAGTCACGCTGGCCCCTTCCCATCTACATAGAACCAACAACAGAGCTGGTGCGGCTAGTGAAGCGGCTGAAAAAGCTAAAGCATGCAAATACAGGGGTCTAGGCTCCGAATATGATTTTGTCCCATTAGGTGTTGAGACCCTTGGTCCGTGAGGTCCTAGCGCTATAAGGCTTTTTAAAGAAATTGCAAAAAAGTAAGTCGACATCTCAGGAGACACAACTGCCCTGCGATTCTGTAACTCACTTTTCGAACTCACACAGCGGTTTTCGCATCGGCGGTCGCTCTCAAATCAGTCGTGAAGCAGTCATTTTATGATTTGACATTCTTGGAGCTTGTAGTTTATTGTTTATTAGAATGAAATGACTGCTTCACGACTGATTTCAGAGCGACCGCCGATGCAAAAACCGCTGTGTGAGTTCGAAAAGTGAGTTACAGAATCGCAGGGCAGCTAGCAGCTACCTCGGATAAAAAATTTAGTCTAGCTATTCAAAGGGGGAACGCCGCGCCGCCAGTATCTTTGGAACCTTGCCTAAAGGGACTCATTTTGAAATATATGTTAGGTATTATATTTTAAGGTTAGTTATTGTTTTTCTGTAATACATTTTTTTATTTGTAATATATTAATGAAGTTTTTATTACACTAAACAGACAGAAGCTAAAGAGAAAAAGGTGATAAAATATTTAAAAGAAATGGCAGCATTTGAAACTATTTGTTGCCATGATGATGCCATTTGTTTTTTAAGATCATATTTTCTCAAGAATTAAGTGACTAATTATTTTATTATTTTATATTTTATCCCGCTGTTACAAAGTCAATCCAGAAAAAATCCAGCAAAAATTTTATAACCTCCAGGATTATGAAAGTTGAAGCCAATACGCCTAAGTAAGCGATTCTATTCAGGGCAATCTACGATTGCCCGCCAAGGGTTTTAAAGCTATTGAGTCTTTGATCGCCGTCATACTTTGACCGGGAACCTAACCCTTGGGGATATTTAAATAAAACACTTTTTATTTTATTAATTTTAATTATGCATTGTTATTATATTCCCAGTTTATAGTCAATACTTAATTGTAACCATTGCCAAATTCTAACCATAATAAAAACCAACACGTCACGCGCGGATTTCATTAGAAACACAATATCAGTTGACAAGACTCTTAACGAAATTCTGCAGTTAATCCTATAAATATTTTTCAAGCAAACCAGTCGTTGCTGTCCAAACTTTTTCTACAAACTGTTCATCCCTTGCAATCCGTGAAATCGTTTTAATTTTGCAATCAGCGTAATGATTTCCTGACGATCCTTCCAATTTGCTTGAAGCACATAGATGTATGCTGGTTTGAGCGCCTTGCTCAGACGATTTGAAAAAGATATCAATCACGAACAGTATCACACTTGACAGGAGGAAAGTGTCAAATATTTTTGTTTTCACAATTCCTGGATGAACCGAGTTAGCAGTTACGTTCTTAGGCAGTCTTTTTGATAAAGCTTTCATCCACAGAACGTTACAGAGTTTGCTGTTCGCGTACAAAATAGAAAAGCTGGTTTCCTTAGCTCCTATTATGTCATCTATATCAAATTTAGCATAATAATGAGCCGCTGAAGCTACTATTACAATCCGGCTGGATTTCGAAGTTGCTAATTTATCGAGTAGCCTGAGTGTTAGCAAAAATGGCCCAAAGTAGTTTATCTGCATTACCATATTAATACCATCTTCAGTCAAATGTTTGTTTATAGAACCAATGCCAGCATTGTTCACTAAAATGTCTATATGGTCGTATCTTCTTTTAATATCGTCTGTGAATGTTTTAATACTAGCAAAGCTAGCCAGGTCTAATTTGGCATATTCTACTTCAGTGTTACCAGTTGCTTTGACTATTTCATCAACGGTTTTATCAGAATTTTGCACATCAGCAATGATAACTTTTGCACCACGTTTTGCCAGATCCTTCGCTGTTTCAAAACCAATTCCTGAATTGCCTCCGGTGACGATTGCAATCTTTCCATCGAGCCTTGTTTGACACACGCATATCCCAGCTTTTGTCTCAAAAATAAATTTGTAAATGAGAATACCCAACGCACTGAATATAATAATTGTAAAAATGAATATTATACACCATAAAATGACTGGTAACATGTTCACAATACAAGTTCTGAGTCAGACTAAAGCTTAACGAATTATTACGCGATTATTTTTAACATCAGGGCAATCCGGTAATTATAGTGATGTACGAAAACCATTGTTGCGTACTTGTGACCATTGTGACTTATGACCCATTTTGAAACGAATCAAGCCTTTTGGTTGAACTGCTTATAATCAATAAATAATAATAAATAGATCGTTTATTTGCAAAGTGGTACATTCAGATTGATTAATTATATAAATACAAGTAAACATGCAATTTCAATAAAATGCAATAAGACTTACAAAAATAGTTTTGTTGTTGCTTGTGATCGCAACATATGTGCTAAGATGAAGAATTAAAAAAAATAAGTCTATTTCGTAATCCTACAGCTAACACAAAATAATATAACAAAAAACAATAACTAACCTAAAATAAAATAACTAAAATTTGTTATTAAAAGGAGTCCCTGTAGGCAAGGTTCCAAAGATACTGGCATCGTTCCCCCTTTGAATATCTTGACTAATTCCGAATTATAAGTTATCTTCCTTTGTCCGAGGTAGCTGCCAGCTCTTCCGTCGCCTGCCTTAACAGTAGTGTATGTAGAAAGTCGAAAACTAAATTTGTATAAAAATGACATGTCGACAAATGAAAAATCTTGTATCTGTGTAGTATAGTAGAAGATCTAGTGTAGTAAGAAACCGTTTAGGGGTTTATCAACACCTAATAGAACATCACTAGAACAATTTATCAAAATTATGTTCTGTTAAGACCTATTACATTTTAATTATCTACTGATCTTTGACACGAACTGTAATAAATTAACATAAAATACAGTTTTGTAATAAAAATTAACTATTCTGAATACATAAAATAAAAACTTTTATTTCGTTATGAAAAGAGATTTAAATTTTTATAGACAAAATTTTCTCTATATTAATCTAGCTGAACTTGGAATAAGCAAGTTTAAAACAATGTTATCAAACAAATACATATCAAGATATCAGTCATCAGTATAAGCAGAGATCTTTGAGGCTTGAAAGGGCTCTTGTATTAACGCTCTTTAAAAGACTCGTCAATTACTAAACGCATACTAGGGGGTGGCGAACAGGGCAATCTTACGGGGCCTAGCTCTTGCAGGGGCCTCGGACAACGACCCAAGCAAATTTAAAAAATATCGATTTTTGTACTATTTTTTATTAAAAACTTTTTAATTTCATCCTTAATTACTTATAAAGGTAAAATAAAATAAAGTTAGTTAACTAATTCATTCACTCAAAACATAATTGAAAAATTATGTAGTAACTTGACAAATACCTAAACCAAACTTCCAGACCTACTTTCGCATCATATACTTTTCACGAAGGACAAAGGGCCTCGTAAAGATCAGACGCCCCGAGCCTCGCAATGGGTAAGGCCGCCTCTGACTAAACTAGAAACATGTAACAGTCAATATGCATTACAATAAATTACTGCTTTATTATTTCCATGGTTGTATTCCAAACTTTATTAACAAAATCGTCATCTCTCGCAACTCTTGCAGGTCGCCTCTCTTTGCATTCTACATAATAACCACCAGATTTATTTTCAAGTTCTGGAGCGACACACAAATGTACACACGTTTGGGCTCCCTCTTCAGCCGTCTTAAAAAGAAGTCTAATTACACCAAGGATTGCAATTTTCTGGATTACACCGAAAGAGTTATAAATGTCTGTGTAAACTAAGCCGGGGTGAACAGAATTTACAGAAACGCCATCCACTCGCTTTGCCAGAGCTTTAGTCCAAATGACATTGCATAGCTTGCTATTCGCATACCTTTGATAGTAAGAGGATACATCTTTTGATTCTAGATTATGCAAATCGATTTTTCCGTCGTGGTGTATTGATGATGTCACTGTCACAATTCTACTGGGTTTGGATTGTTCTAACTTGTTGAGAAGCAAATTTGTAAGCAATGCTGGGCCGAAATAATTTATCTGCATCAACATATCAAGTCTATCTTCAGTCAAACGATAGTTCAAGCCACTCACGCCGGCATTGTTTACTAAAATGTCTAAGCGATCTTCAGTTTTATTAAACTCTTCGGCAAATTTTCGAATTTTTTTAAATTGAGCCAAGTCCAGTTGTCTATGCTCGACGTTAGGGTTGCCAGTGGTGTTGATGATGTCTCTGACGGCTTCTGTGGACTTGTAGACGTCTCTGCTGGCTATGATCACTCTAGCTCCTCGCCTTGCTAGATCTCTGGCAGTTTCTAATCCGATGCCAGAGTTACCTCCGGTCACTAAAGCTACTTTTCCACTTAATTTTGTTTTACACCGACACACGCCTTTGACGGGCTGAATCCAAAACCGAATTCCGACGAGTAATATAGCAAAAGGAATTATTAAATAGCTGGTAGTTTTAAATAAAGTCAGTATTAAGTGCGTTGGCCACATTTTAGATTTATGAAGGCCGTTGGATCAGGACGTTGCTTATATTTGATTCGGGGATGTCAATATTGAGATTGTCCAAAATTGTGTACATTGTGAATATTAGGTGTGATGTAGTTTGGTTGGATCAGGTATAATTGCCTTGGTAAATACGACGTTTGTTGACAAGATTGTACCTATAATTCTCATAAGTATAAATGTACAAGGCCATTTTAAACAAGTTTTAGCAGACATTGTTATTATCCGTAAAATATTTAGTGTATAATTTAACGTTCTCAGTTAAGTTATTCCGCAATATAAATACAATATAGCGGTATGTACTGACTAAAGCTAAATATAATATATATCAAACGATTTCTTAGAATAAGGCAAATGGGATGGCGGATCATCTGATTACTGTGCCTGTGAACACCACGGCAGGACTTGGTTTGACAGGTTTGCGTGATTTATGTATTAGTACACTCTTTCTTCGTACAATCAATCCTCCTAGTTTGACTTTGTTTAGTTTAAAAGCTATTATGCAAAAACTTTATAACAAACTAGTGGACCCCACAGACGTTGTCCTGCATGATATTTAAAGCGATTAGGATATTAAGCAAAGTATGAAAGTACCGACTGCAGTGCCATCTGCCGGACTGATTTGTGAATCTAAACCATTCCCAGATCCCCTTGAACACACACAAAAAATTTCATCAAAATCGGTCCAGTCGTTTGAGAGAAGTTCAGTGACATACACACTCACAGAAGAATTATATATATAAAGATGTATTTATGATGAAACAAAAATTAATTCATTTGGAAATTACGATATCTTGCTTCCCTTTAAAATACACGAACAGTATATATGTACTTTCCTCCGGGCATAGTTGGGATAAGTTTCCCACTAACTAAATGTTAATATTTAATATAATAATTACCAGCATGACAATGTATAGCCACTCTTCCTTCTTGTAAAGCGAAGGACAGGACCTTCGCCATATCAAGTAGACCGCAAAGACTTGCTTCTCCATAGTCTGGCCAGCCGAAGTTATAGTAGTATACTGTGAACAAATTTATATATAAGCGTTATTTAAGATATTATAAGATACACTAATTTATGTAAATGATTTTATTAAATAAGATATGTATATATTTTTTATCGATATTTTTTGTAGTTTTTTAATTTTTTATTCAATGGTTAGTAGCGACATCTAAATACTCCGCTGACAAAATATTGTGATAGCGTCATGCAATGAAATGCGGTAACGAAGTTATTTCGGCCGCTAAGGATATATATAATACGCCGTTAGCAACTGGGGCCATCGGACCAGTTAGTTAGTTAGCTTTTGGAACATACTACCATACTAGTTTATAATTAAAGTATTATCCTTTAGCTCGCCATGGTTTTGACCAAATATTAAACACACTGCACAACATAACTTTACGATAGAATTTAATACTGCCCTGCGATTCTGTAACTCACTTTTCGAACTCACACAGCGGTTTTCGCATCGGCGGTCGCTCTGAAATCAGTCGTGAAGCAGTCATTTTATGATTTGGCATTCTAATAAACAATAAACTACAAGCTCCCACCTTTTCAGAATGCCAAATCATAAAATGACTGCTTCACGACTGATTTGAGAGCGACCGCCGATGCGAAAACCGCTGTGTGAGTTCGAAAAGTGAGTTACAGAATCGCAGGGCTGTATGCCAACTGGTCGATATTAAAATAAAAAAAATAATCAGTGGCGCTACAACCTTTTTAGATCTGGGTCTTAGATTTCTGAATCTGTTTTATGATCATTTGTCAATCTAATAGGCAAGTAGGTGATCAGCCTGTGCCTGACACACGCGGTCGACTGTTTTGGGTCTAAGGCAAGCCGGTTCCCTCAAGATGTTTTCCTTCACCGTTCAAGCGAATGTTAAATGTGCACATAGAAAGAAAGTCCATTGGTGCACAGCCAGGGAACGAACCTACGACCTCAGGGATGAGAGTCGTATGCTGAAGCGACTAGGCCATCACTACTCAACTGGTCGATATTACGACACTTATAGTTATAGTATTTAGTTGGTTCAATAATTATTATAATTAACGATTAATACAAACTTGTGCACAGGCGCTTATTAAAGATTTAAGTCGGCGCCTGGTAGATAGTACGGTGACCCCAGAGCTGCTTTTCTCGCTCAACAAATAAGTATCGCAATACAGAGAGGAAATGCTGTCAGAGTTAAAGGTACACTGCCACAGGGACCAAACTTTTTAAATTTGTTTTAATTTTCTTTATAGAAATTTTTAATTATTGTTACGTTAGTAATTACTGTATATTTGATAGAAAGAGAATAAAATATTAAGAAATTGGATCTGGTATACATATATATAATACCCACTGTCGTTCGCCATGAAAATCACAGGGTCATATGTAAAACCAGATTTCGTGAGAGGAGGACCGCAACTGGCATGCTCTCCAGGCATTTGTAAGTTTATCACAGTGCAAACACCCCAACTGGAACAAAAGACCTATATAATTCCAGATAAATCCAGATAATTAATTTTTTTTTAATATACTTATAGTTATTTTTATAGAACATGGGCAAACGGGCAGGAGGCTCACCTGATGTTAAGTGATACCGCCGCCCATGGACACTCTCAATGCCAGAGGGATCGCGAGTGCGTCGCCGGCCTTTTAAAAATTGGTACGCTCTTTTCTTGAAGGAACCGAAATTGAATTGGTGCTACATGTTAAGATCTTAGAGCAGTAATGTATGTTATGATTTGTTTTAAATATGAAGTTTAATAAAAAGACATGTATACTTATATGTACACGCGTTAGAAGTTATAATTTTTTGGCGTAACAAGATAAAAATCTTTTCAAAAAATTTATTCTACCGTTGTAGAAAAAACGACACTAAAAATAGAAAAGAAAGAAGGTATTTAATAATTTGAAAGATTTATTATAACGCATTATCTAGTTTATTATCTTATCTTAATATATATAAATTACGCGTCACGTTGTTTGTCCGCTATCGACTACTAAACCGATTTCAATCAGATTTGCACACCGTGTGCAGTTTGATATAACTTAAAAGATAGGATAGCTTACATCACAAGTTATACCCGCAATATTATTTTATTGCAAATATTTGTTTATTATTTGATAGTCAGAATTCTAACAGATGGCGCTGTGTTGAAAGTACCAATGTTTCACATAAGCTTCAATTTAATGGCATTACCACCAAAAAAGCACGGTGGTCCCCATGACTGATGTTCTTCTACCGTTTCCCTTGAATAGTCTTATATATATACGTATAATTCTCGTGTCACAATGTTAGTTACCATACTCCTCCGAAAGGGCTTGACGGATTTTTATCAAATTCTATATGCATATTCAGTAGGTCTGAGAATCGGCTACGATCTATCTTTCAACCCCTAAGTGATAAGGAGTGTCCACTGTCCACCCCAAAAACAATTTTTTTATTCTTTAGAAATTTTTTTTTTGTTTTTATTTTTTATGATACAGCATACAAAAATAGATACAACCCCATATTTTCACCCCTCTACGATCAACCCTTATTTTTTATTATTGTAGATAGTTATTTTTATTGAACTAAAATAATATTATTGTCTTTGATTGACATAACCTTTACACATTTAAAGAAAAAACTTTTTAACCGGATTAAAGTTATTTATTATTATAATATTATATATATTCCTAGGAATAATATACTTGGCAAAACAAATGTTTGCCGGGTCAGCTAGTTTACTATAAAATAACAAAAATCCTAGCCACGGCAACGCTTGGCCGAGTCTGCTAGTAGTAGGTAAAAGATTGGGTCTTGACTCACGACATATTATTGTATGTGTTGTGCATACTTTGGTATTATGTATGTGTGATATTATGCTATGACGTACCTGTGAAATTGTTGAATAATATTTCTAGCAGCGATGCTCATTGTACTGGGACGCGCCATCGCCAGAATGTCTACGGTGACCCTGAAACAAATGTGATATTGTAAATAATAAATCTCTTTAAATTTTTTACCATTTCCGTTTTAACAAAACAGAATATAGAAGATATACAGGGTTTATATTTTGTTTGTTTATTATTATTTATTACTTAAGATGTCATGTGGAACAAGGTGTAATGGTTGCAGCTCCTTACAAACGTTGTGTAAAACATAAACTTGGCGATTAAAAAGAGTGGCGGAGAGTTTATTGCCAGTTATTCTCTTGCATTCTACGCCCTTGATTTGAGAACTGACAGTAAATGTAAAATTAGAAGCATTCAAGTATATTTCTTGCTTTTTGACGTTCATAAGTGTACATTGTTACCTACATGAGTAAATGATTTTTGTTTGTTTGTTAGCAGTATACCTTTAACGTTGGCAGCATTTCCTCGCTGTATGTGCGATACTTATTCGTTGAGCGAGAAAAGCACCATCTCTGGGTTCACCGGTACTATTTACAACCAACTTAAATCTTTAATTAGCGTCTGTGCACTTGAATAGTTTATGATCTAGGTCGGCTATTTTACCTATCGCTACAACCGAATCAAAGCGATTGAAACCACGGGTCCAACAAAACCAATAACTTGCAATAAACGAGAGTTAATATATATTTAAAAGTTTTGATCTCTGTGTACTTCGATTTATACATTTTAAGATTATAAATAATTAAATAAGCATTTAATTGTCCATATTATATTTACAATAGGGACCTTTACCTATATACATTTGAACTACTTATTAAATATCGATGCTTGCGTAGGTATGTTATGTCTATATTTGGCACATTTGACACGCCTCCACTACTGCTGTGTCTCTGGTAACTCTTAGTAATATTAGTGTTTTTCTCTTCTTTAGTAAAATAATGTAACACATAAACAAAAGTTTCTTATCATAAAATAATAGTACAAACTAATACTAATACTAATACGACATTTTTAATTATACAAGTGTCTTTTGAAGGTCAAAAATCATGTTGATTAATGTTAGTAGCGCCATCTATGTTTCAATCTACGAACTTTTCATCCGAATTGTTACTACAATACACTCATTATACATGTATCACATTTTTTTTAAGCCTGCAAGGTCATAGTAATCACGAACCTTGTTTTAAACATAAGACCACAAAACTTGAAATATAAGTGGAAGTTTTCATGTAAATTTTAAATTAATATATTTTTCGCGTGACTTCCGTTCCGTTTTATTATAGTGATTATAACATTAGCTACATTTCTATTGCAAATAATTACATAGGTAGTACTTGCAACTTAAATTATACGACCATGAGGCACCTTGAAATAATTATACCTAGTTATAAATAAGCAATATATACATATACTAGCTGACCGGGCAAACGTCGTTTTGCCATGTATATCATTTATAATAAAAAATAGGGGTTGATCGTAGAAGGGTGAAAATTAGGGGTTGTATGTATTTTTTAATGCTGTATCATAAAAAAATAAAAACAAAAAAAATATCTAAAAATTAAAACAAAATAATTTAGGGGTGGACTACCCTTAACATTTAGGGGGATGAAAAATAGATGTTGTCCGATTCTCAGACATACCAAATATGCACACAAAATTTCATGAGAATCGGTCTAGCCGTTTCGGAGGAGTTTAACTACAAACACCGCGACATGAGAATTTTATATATTAGATATGTATATAACTATTAAACTATATACATTATACATATAATATATAAAGGTAATTGAAGATAAATATTTACAATAAGGAGAAAGTATGTTTTAAAAGCTGTTATAATTTTTATGAGAAACATAAAATAATTGTTGAAGTATTTAAAATATCTAAAAATTTACTAAAACTCATTATTCAACATTATTGCCTATGTGTAGTACAGTCGTACTGGTTTAATTCCAAAGAAAATAGGTAGAAATTGAAGAAAATTGTGGCTTCAATCCGGGCTGTGCACGAATTGACTTTCAATGTGCGTATTTAACACTTGAATGAAAAGATTGTAATACCGGTATTAGACCCACGTGTGTCAGGCACAGAAGGCTGATAACCAACTTTTCGTTTATCACCGACAAATAATCACATAGAAGAAACCTGAGGCCCAGACCATACTATTTAAGTGTCAGACGAGTAGAGGTATTTGACATTTCGTTCTACTGTTATTTGAATAAGAAATCAAACGTTAAAAGTTAAAACGGTCACAGCTTGGTCGAATCGACGAGGATGATGATGTCATACTATGTAAATAATGTCTTCTTCGTTTCTCTCTAATTTAATTAGACAGACAGCTTTTATTCGAGAAATAATTTATGTGTAATTTAAGTATTATAACACACCAAAAGATTGATGGTTTTTTAATTGTTTACATGCATTGTCATGTTATAGGGACCGGTGCGACGCCATCTTGTGTATTGATGCGTTTTGGCGGGATTTTAAATTATGAATGTTTACCAATAAATAGTTAAGAATGTTTTTTTAAGCCCTGCCTATTTTAAGAGCAACATTTTAAGGACCGATATGGTCGCCATACTTCAAAAAAGTACATTGTTTCTTTCCATTTTTCGTCATTGTTTCTTGAAGTGGAGCGAATGGAAAAAATATATGGAGGAGTTGAGTACTTTATGTATCCATTTTGAAAGATCGATACACGAAGTAACTTCGCTCGATGTAAAAAAAATCCAAACATAACCAATTTTTCACACTTTGAATTCATTTTATGAGGAAAATGTATATAGAACATAATTTTGGAATTTAGTATTTACACGATATATTTTATCGCATGCCAAGTAATCCATTTCAGATTTTTTTTAAAATAAAATTACATAAATTTAATGTTTTACTAAGTGTCATTACGGGCCGGCGCGCTTCAGTGCTCCAGTTCTCCACTGCGCCCCGTAGTCCACCCCGAGACACTGACACAGCAATTCGTGCTGGGAGATGGCCTTAAGTTAATAGGTACCAACCAGTCTGAGTATAGTCCTTGTATCGCCGATGATCGCTTCGAAGGTAGTTCATACTTGCATCGAGACCCACCGCAGAACAAGGCGCATTGTAATCCAGATGGCGCACTTGTTCGTACTAGTTCACCAAACGTACTGTATTGGGCGGATGGCGGGCGGTTCACTCTACGATGGGAATCTTTTCTGAAATTCAGATACAATATTATATATTGTTACGAGATAGGGGATCGGATAGAAAACGCCGTAGATTTCTTCAAGGGTTTATTCTGAACTAAATCTACGAGGAATTTGTCTACACAAAAAAACCGCTAATTACGCACACACATTTACTAATTAGTAATTACACATTCACAAAATGTGATGAAACTTCCTGAAAAAATGTTTCAGCATCCTGAAAACTAGGGTAACTGTAATTTACGATTTTTTAAAATGTGATTTACCCTCTCCTGAAACGGCCAGTACGAGTATCGAGCAATTCAATTCTATCTAACATATAAAATTCTCGTGTCGCGGTGTTTGTAGTTAAACTCCTCCGAAACGGATTGACCGATTCTCATGAAATTTTGTGTGCATATTGGGTATGTCTGAGAATCGGACAACATCTATGATTCATACCCCTAAATGTTAAGGGTAGTCCACCTCTTTTTTTTTTTTAATTTTAAGATAATTTTTTTTAATTTTAGTTTTTATGATACAGCATTAAAAAATACATACAACCCCTAATTTTCACCCCTCTACGATCAACCCCTATTTTTTATTATAAATGATATACATGGCAAAACGACGTTTGTCAGGTCAGCTTATTAAATATAAAATCCTTTATTTACTAAAGGCAATAACGTATTTTTACGTTTAATTAATTTATACAATTCTTTGCTTAATTAAAAAAAACAGTGTCGCTACGCTTTTTGCCTCAGATTTCTACAAAATTGTATAATATTATTGACCGATTACATCGGCTTGGATTGATTGATTGCCATTGGAAGTTCTAACGGACGTTAGTAAGTCACTGCCCACATAGAATAACAAGACCTTAGAGCTCACCCAAGCCGCAAGAACAACGCTGCTCGTGGCAAATTAATTAAATCGAAATAAAGTTCACGTCAAAACGCGCAATTACGTCCTCTGATTTCACGATATTAAACACGTAACGCCGTCATTAGCTCCTGTAACCGATCGAACAATTTTTGTTTCTACACGTACTTACGTACATTTTTAGAGAATTTTTGACGAAATTTTTTTGTCTTATTGATTTATGTATACATATGACCTCATAATAAAGTTTTAAATCTCAAGTATATATTTCCATCACATATATACAAAATTTACGATATTCTTAACCTACATAGTAATAATAATAATAATTAAAAGTGGATAAATAGAAAATAAAAACAAAATTTAAAAGATCGGTCCCTGTGGCAGTATACCTTTAATGCTCGCAGCACTTACTTATTCATTGAGCGAGGAAAGTACCACCTCTAGGTTCACCGGTACTATTTACCAGGCGCCAACTTAAATACTTATTTAGATTGCATTTAAACCCCAACGGCCAAAGAGTCTTTACTCATTTTAAGGGAACAAAGTTGAAGTGGGGGGGAAAGACTGTTATATTTATTATATTCCCGTTCCGTTACGTTATTGAGCGCTTGCCGTCGAAGATGGGACGGGGCTAACGTGTCCACACAAGTAGCACCCCATGCCAAAGCCCTTCCCGACCTCCAAAGGATCCGCTGTTAAATCCGCAATATCGTAGTTTATAGAATAAGAACGAAGGATCTATGTAGTTTTAAATAACATTATATAAAAATAATCGAATTTAAACCATATAAAACTGTGTGTGTATCGTAACGGCGTTTTTTTGGCTCTCAATTGAACCCAACACCTCGTGTTCTGAATGAACATGCTGACCCGGTATTGTCTGCCACTTAAGCATATTTCTTTTGTATAACAAACTAGTAGTACCTGATATTAAGTTATAGACGTGCGGCCGGCCGGCCTTTGTTATCTTTAAGAAAATAATTTTACCTACAATATTACACTACCCATACCTGTTAAGAAAATGAAAACTTCGAGCATTTGATAGATTAAAACTATTTTTTCTTTCCGACATTCTATTCTTCGAACTTCAACCCTTTTACCGTAAGGTCTAACGGCCACTGACGCTTATATAAGTAAACAGTGACAATGACAAACCATTACGATATTGTGTGTAGGGTTAGCAAAATCGTGTACGTACTGGGTAAGCATATCAAACAAAAGACGAGCGGGCGTTCGAGACGCGACTCCTTTGCGATTCAAAAGGCCCCAACATGTTCTAACGGATCCGGATGATCCAATAACAATAGCTAACGACATATTAAAAGAAGCCCACGCGGCAAAGAAATTTCATCAGATCCTATTTAATGCAAACTAACAGTAAAATCTATCCTCTATCTATTATCTATATACATACGTATATCTATTTATTATATAAATAAAGTTATCATCGTCATTAAATACTACTAAAACTAATTTAGAAAATAAGAAAAATGTATAATACAATTTTGTTGCTTATCAATATTTTACATAGGTACTTTATATGAGTCTAACGAAAAAGATATGAAATCAATTAATTGTAATTAATGTACCAACTCTGGTGGTTACGCGAAGTTCGATTTTAGTAATTTTTAAGTCAGTATTTTTTGTTCTATCGCTACAGAACATTATTTAGTAAATGTCCCGATAGACAAACATTTCATGTGTAAAACATACAATACATAAAATACATAAAAACATACAGGTTAAAAAAACATTTTTCAAAGACAATGCCAAGGTTACATGGTTGTGTCATTTTGTCGTGAACCTTGCAAAACTTCCTTTATTAAATAAGAATATTTGAACTTTGTCTAATGACGAGATCGCAGAAATCATCTTTTCTTCAAATGTGAAACCAAAATGTAAATTTGTATAGATTAGTACAGATACCGGCAAACTTCTTGAGCATTAAACAAGGGAGTGGGGGAAAGTTTGCGGGTCTGGGACACAAACATCAACTGATTTACCAATCACGCGATGGACACGTCACTCTCGCGCTCAAATCAGTCGAGAAGCAGTCATTGTACGATTTGGCATTCTGATAAGCAATAAACTACAAGCTCCCTTCTTATCAGAATGTCAAATCATAAAATGACTGCTTCACGACTGATTTGAGCGCGACAGCCGATGCGAAAACCGCTGTGTGAGTTCGAAAAGTGAGTTACAGAATCGCAGGGCTGTATTCTGCCCATTGTCAATCTCCGTACCTTACGAATAAATGTTACTCAATCATTCAATTTTAATTTATGTTTGGGTTCTATAACAAAAACAAGCAATGGTGTTACATATACTGACCGGCTGGCCAATGTATGGATACCTACGACAGGAATAACACTGAACAATCTATGGGAATAAAAGTAACAGAGACGAAATTAAAAGAAATAATGTTTAACAATAGGTAGGTCCACAGCTGAGCGTCTTTTAAGGCAGAAAGAAAAGAAAAGAGCGTACCAATTTTTAAAAGGCCCGTTACGCACCAGCGAGCCATCTGGCATTGAGAGTCAAGAGTGTCCATGGGCGGCGGTATCACTTAACATCAGATGAGCCTCAGATTTGCCTCCAGTTCTATATAAATAAAAAAGGGGGGATTAGAGATCCTAGCCAATAAAAATTTAAATAACTACCTATCTGATTATTTAATAAATACGTGTAATAATAATTAAAATGTTCCATAGTAAATGTTGAACTCCAAAATTATGAACTGTATTTTGAGGTTTTCGTGTTTCTAATTATAGCTTGACCTATATTGTAGCGTGACTTATTTACGGGCTGTTCATACAATTATAAATATCACGTCGTCTACATAAAAACTACAAATACTTATAACAATATTAAAAATTATGTGAAAAATATCGCATAAAGGTTCGTGGAACAGTCTAAATACCATAGATACAATTAAAGCGACATAAATAGTAAATCAAATACATAATACCAACCTAAAATACATGTCAACTGTCAAAAACTATATACCTAATTTATTAGTACTACCAAAGACAATTAAAGCAAATTAAAAAACTTTAATTGTCTTTGGTCCTACACATATGGCTTTAGAAATGCGTACATACCTCAAAAACTACTGAAGCAATTAGCCACGGATAAACTACAAATTACTTGACGAAGGTAGATATTGTCTGTCGCTATAATTATTACGTAAATAATTAAATACTAGTGCGTGAGCTTTGTTGGATAACTGGTTTTATATCAAGGACAAGCTTTCCGTGGTAATAAGTAATTAAATTAATAATACATACAGGCCACTTAATTATACAATGCCTGTTTTATTTTTATAGTAATGTTACTTTTTTATTGTTAACGTCGTTTATTCTATAATGTAAATTGTACATACCATTTCTTACTACACAACTAAAATTTAAAAATCTTGAATATTAATTGTAGACTATTTTAAAAGAGTAAGTACCGAGTGTTTTTTTACACCGGCTTTTGCTCTCGGCCTACACGCCTACACCCTATGTCTTCTTTGCCGATGAGTAGGGATGTCTACCTATTCAAATTACCTGTATGTTATGTTCCATAATAAACGTATTAAACATAGACAAACACCTTGGTGCAATTTTTATTTTTGGTCAACATAGTGTATATTAGGTATGTTTCATTGATGTTTAATGAGAATATAAGATATCATTCGCTTGCCCCAGAGAACAAAGTCGTAAAGCACTATTAGGACTGTTTTAAAGTTTTCTCATTTTTGACTTCTTTGGGTGATGTGATAACTGTTTTCTTTTTCAGAATTTTTGCAAGGCATTTTATTATAAAAAACACGTGAATGCATTCACTCCACGGAAATTCTTTAATACACAATGTTAGGTTATTTGTAAATAATGATTCAATCGTAAAACGCTTTTGATCTTCAGCCTAATTAGATAAATTGCTGCAAAGTACATTTAGTTATTTTTTTAACTATTTATACTAAATACGTCACAACAATGTTTAAATCGTCGGATAGAAAAACATGCTTTCGTTTGATATCTGTAAATGTAACGTAATTAGTATCCTAATAATAATAGCATTAACTTGACTTAAAAAAAATAGATTTGCCGTTACGACTTTGTTCCCCGGGTATAGCAAATATAAGAGCCAGCAATAATAATATTAGGTTTTTAATCTAAAATTGATGGTGCATTAATATAAACCTTACTTATTCCTCCCATTAGCTCCTTCTGGATCAACTCTTCGCTTTTTACGTCGGCAAAGTCGCGCAATGTGTCCCCATCCGAACCTGGACCATAGCGGTCTCTCTTCCTCTTCCGATAAATCTATGCTTCCGTTCATAGAGTATAGATAAATAGATATATAAAGATAACTAACGATTGAGTTATTTTTGTCTAAAAAACAGCTTTTTGGAAAGCTTATCTATGTTAGACTATGTTAATAGGAGATATTAAAATATGATTTCCTAATAGTCGTGGACCTTAATGCCCTGAACGCGTATAATTAAACCATAAGAATTCCTCGAAGTTAACACGGATAACTGATCGATTGTCAATTCATTATTAACGCTTATAGCTGTGAAATAGGTTAGGGAAGTAGAAGTTGCATAGCATTCTATATGTAAGTTTATTTATTGAAAACGCATTTGAAAAAGTTATATCAGTTTTCACTATTCAGTTTATTCAGCCTTTTTAAATAAATTTGTTATAGTTTTTGTCCTAGTTTTAAATCACATTTTTGTCTTTGTTTCCGTTATTATGTCAACTGTCAAAAGTTTACGCGCGGATTTCTATAGTTTTGGCGCCTGCAATCAACGCTACGGCAAAAGGGTGACTGATCGTTGTTGCCAGCGAATTATTGACTTCACAAGGAAGCCGTGCGTGCACAGTGACATTTGTGATTTTGTTATTTTATAGCAGGATTTATTTCTGATACGTGCACGAAGACGAACATGTTTAGGAAAAAGCTAAAAATGGGCTTGATCTCTTCCTGGCAGTATAGTATCGTAATTTACTATGTATTAATGTTATTTTATTTGTCATAATTGTATTGCTATTACCGACTAATAAGTTACCGACTTTTATAGAACTGTCGTTTAGGCCTCTTAAAAATTGAATTAGGTACATTTAATTATTAATTTTTTTTATCTTAGATTTCATTCACCAAAATATATGAAAATTTGTATAGCTGTTTAACAAAACATAATCGAGTTGAGTTTTTGTTACATTTGTGTTAACTTTACTGTCTATAATAGACATGCCGGCTTGAATAAATAATAGAAAAAAACTTAAGATAATATATTTATTTAATAAAGTATAAAATTTTACAAATAAAAAAATAATTTAAGGTCTAAGAATCTCTAATAATACGCCAAATAAGCTGGCAAAGCTAGATGCGCAGTTGTTTTTTCAATATATCAAAAGTACTTAAAGTACCCTTACAACGAAAAATCTTGTCAAGTTACATGCTGAAGCCTATACGAATATTTATCATAACTAAGGGTGAGATTCAGAAACGAGAGATGACGAACTATGATTCCAGTATGTCAAAATCCAAGTCATTTTTGACGTACCTACAGGAGTCAGACTTAGCATTAAGTCTCGTTTCTGAATCGAAGAGTCATTGACAATTTGCATGCTTCTATGACATTTGCAGTTCTTTTGTCAATACTTTTTTTTCCTATGCGCATAAATAACTAATGTGTCTGTTTCTGTCAAAATATAACACTACGTATTTTGACCGATGCTTTAAAAGTTATATAGTATGAATGGTACAATAATTAAATTAAAAAAATTTTTAAGCTCGCATGCACTTCATCCTCTTAGTAGCGGGATCCAACTTGCACTTCTCAAAGGGACTGCACTTTTGGTTAGCGCAGTAAACTCCTGCGCCTCCAGCTGAAGATAAAAATAAAAATTAGATGTGCTTTATCAGTTACATTTACGTATTACGTTTTAAAAAACATTATTTTTATCCTACATAAAAATAAAAAGAGCGTAACAATTCTTAAAATGCCGGCAACGAACTTGTGAGCCTTAACATTAGGCGAGCCTCCTCCCTGTTTGCGTTGTTATGTACCTATATATATATATATTTAAGTAGATCTGATTTTAAATTTATTTGCATAGCACTCGGCAGTGAAAAGGTCGACGCGTTTAGAAATTTTACTAAATATTTTTAATAGATATTTTTTTTTAGTTCAAACGACTTAAAAATTTTGGATTATTTAAAAACTCACTAACATTGAGAATACTTGTCATTATTTCCACCGCCATGTGCAGCTAAGTCAACGCAGGACTTGGCATTGCAGCTGTTCGGGCAACATGCCTTGCCATGACTGCAGTCGTAATTGTCATGACATTTGGGGCTGCAGCCGTAGATCTTCGATGGCATTGGACAGTTGCCGGCAGCTGGAAATACAAATTAATATTATATTAACTTCATTTTCAGTTTGATTTTTAATTACTGGGGAACTAAATTTAAAGTTATAAAATGCTTTCTGTAAAAAGTTAAACAAAATCAGTAAACAGGCGGCAACTACGCTTTATTAGTATTGAGAATATTACTATACTCGGCAAAGATTGTTTTATTTTATATGTTTTTTATCTCAATATATGTATGTATATACATAATTATACCAATCCTGTCCTAACAGGTAACCCTAAATTGACAAGAATGCATAACCAATAAAAATTTCACTCACGAAACAAACAACATAAAAAAAAATTAACTGACTACTATAGGCACTTAACAAATAATAGAACTTTTGTCAGTTCAATCAACGGACAATAAAAAAAGGTCCGTTAACCTGTGTAATTTGTTCACAAAAGTAATACAGCGAATCATATGCCCTTTTCAGAAGGTAAGTCATAACTGTGAGCACATGAAGTAGCGGCGGACGATGTCACATTGAAGCTAAGGTACTGTAATACTAGTATCGCTATAAAACAGTGGGAGTTAGTCCAATGAAGCAATTAGTGTACATGCAGATTTAATGCCCAATCATAAAATAAACGTCTGTGTACCTACTTATGTCCACGCGTTAGAAGTTATACTTCTTTGGCTTGACAAGATAAAAATCTGTTCAAAAATTTTATTCTACGTCTAGAAAAAACGACACTAACAGTAGAAAAAATGTATTTAATACATTGAAAGTTTTATTATAACGCATTATCTAGTTAAATAAAGTTTAATTAGATATCACAAAAAAACTAAAATGTTGCTAACGGTGTCGGTTTTTTGTGACGGAGTGCGGGTGTCGGTTTTTTGTGACGGCGTAAAATCGTAAAAATTTCCTCTCATAATTTTGTAGGTATCTACTTAAGGACCTATCCTATCGCCAAACTCCAAAAAAGTACATTGTTTCTTTTCATTTTTCGTCATCGTTTCTTGAAGTAGGGCGAATGGAAAAAATATATGGTGTAGTTGAGTAGTTTATGTATCCATTTTAAAAGACCGATGCACGATTTAAATAACTTCGCTCGATAGAAAAAAAATCCAAACATAGCCAATTTTTAACACTTTGAATTCATGTTATGACGAAAATGTATATAGAACATGATTTTGAAATTTACACGATATATTTTATCGCAAGCCAAGTAATCCATTTCAGAAAAAAAAATGATAAATTTACATTAATTTAATGTTTTACACAACTAATAATTGTTATTACGGACCGACGCGACGCGCCTCTCCACTGCGCACCGCAGTCCACCCCGAGACACTGACACAGCAATTCGTGCTGGGATAGGGCCTTAATAACAACGTCATTTTTACGACCAAATATGAGTAGTCCCTTCGATGTCGTTATAACAGATTTTGACTGTACCTATTAAAATTGATATTTTTGTTTAGTTTTTTGTAATTTTAATTTTTTTGATTAGTAATTTTTTTTTAAATGTTTGTTTTGTTTAATAATTGTTTTGATTAATATTTGTATGATCTCTACATGTATGCAGGGCCTGATTAACCCTGATTAGGCTAATTAGGCTGCAGCCTAGGGCGCGACGATCTAGGGGGGCGCGAAATCAAAATTTCTTTTTTCTAAGTAAAGTAAATACTAAGTAAAAACGGGCCAAATTGAGTTATAAGGGTGGCGATCTTACATCGTTAATAATTATTATGCAGCTATTTACTGTCTTAAAGAGCACTTTAAGACAGTAAGTATTAGTAGACTTTAAGTCAGCTAAAAAATGGTTTCAAGGTGTGCAAATTAAAGGACAGCGTTAGTTTAGCTGGCAGATCGATCTGAAATCTTTTATAGATAGTATGAACCATGTTAAAATTTTCACATTAGAAAACAAAGTCAAAACTACTTTTTAGACGGACCGTAACACATCTGTCACCTGGCGGGGGCGCATCCTGACAAATAGCCTAGAGCGGGCAGAACTCTTGATCAGTCTCTGCATGTGTGTATGTCATGTTTGCCTTTAAGTGCTTGTCACATTAAATTTTTTATTTTGTGGTTATTTTACCAATGTATCAGTGTGCCGAGCCTTGGCAAGCTTTTATCAATAAAATAAAATAATTTTGTACAGTTTCAATAAAAACTGTATTTCACTGTATTGCACTGCGACTCACTCAGAATGTTAATTAGGTACTTACGGCCTGCTTCAACGTACGCTGCGATGAACACCACAGCAAACAATGTCACAATTGCAAAGGAACCTGAAAAGAAAATAAACCTTTTTGAATCTGTAATAAACGTACTTTCGAACTCACTTAGACCCGTTTTGCCATAGACTAAAGAGGCATTATCGACCAATACCGACGCTGGGTGCGACCTCAGTTCACTTGGAAATTTAATTATTAACATGTACAGAATAATGTATAAGAATTAATTTACAAAACTTTTAAAATAAGGTGCTCAAGGTGCTTGCGTGTTGCGTTCCCACGAGAATGTAAGCTTGTGCTCCTATGTCACCATTTCCCTGCTGATAGAGGACAAATCTTTGTTTTTAATTTATTTTATTATTATTAATTACTTAAGATGTCATGTGGAACATGATGTAATGGTTGCAGCTCCTTTCAAACATTGTGTTAAACAAATAACTTGGCGATTAAAAAGAGTGGTGGAGGGTTTATTGCCAGTTCTTCTTTTCCGTGTTACGTTTCCTTGATTTGAGAACTGGCAGTAAATGTAAAATTAGAAGCATTTAATATAAATTATATACATTTAGTTTTTGGCGTTCATATGTGTACATTTTGTTACCTATATGAATAAATGATTTTTTAATTTCAAACTGCACCCTTTGTACAATGGGTACTTATATTGGTAGCCATCAAATAATTGTAAAAAAAACTTAGCTTTCACTCGGCGCTAAGACAGAAGGATATAATAACATGTTCGACCTGTTTCCTAACGGGTAATATAGTTTCCTGTCAGACCTCAAAATAATAGATGCTAGACAGAAATTTTGCGCTGATTAAAAGCTAATCGCCGAAACTGAAGCCTATTTTGAGGCTTAAGACAAATCGTACTATAAAAATGGTAACATTGTATATAATCGTTGTATCGCTCTCGAAGGCGAATTGAATTATCAAATAAAATTCTATTTAAAAAAAATTCTATGAAAGCCTACTAACTTTTCAGCCCACAATCCACTGTAGTAATACATTCAATCGCTGTGTTAGTGCTGCCGGCTACATTCAACTATTATTACTGATTTTACCTAAAACTGCGATTTGATATTGTTTACACGTAACATGTGAAGTACCTACTGCATACCATTAAAACTTTTAAAACTTCAAAATAAACGAAACAAAAAAGCCTATTAGCTATTTGGTATATAATGATGATGATAGCTCGAAGATGACGGTCAAAAATGGTTCGTATATAGATACAAAAACTTGGCTATATAATTCAGATCTACATGAGTTGCAATACATAAGTTGAACAAGGTATTATTCATAAGGTCAATGTGGTCAATGTCGATAAGGAATTGGTTTTCCTTGTTTAAAACGACATTGACTTATGACACATTAATAGGTGAAGACCCGTAATGCATTGATTGCCTTGTAGAATTAAAAACCCCCTTTTCTTGTAATAAACAGTAAACAACGTAATCAAGAAAGTTACAAATAGCTGTTTTATCGCTCTCATATCATTTTGATAATAAATAAACCTGACAATACTGGAGTTAAAAGTACCTACATGAACTTCGTTTCTCCTTAATATGATTTTACTTAGCCTACCATTTTAGCACATACCAACATGGAACATTTTGCTATGCTACCCCAGAGACTGTTCGGTTTTTTGGAGTGAAAACTTTTTAGGCTTTTCTGTGTTTTTTTTTATAAAAACCTCAGTGTTCAAGCCATAAGATTTTAATTAACAAATAAAAAATAGGGGTTGATCGTAGAGGGGTGAAAATTAGGGGTATGCATTTTTGTATGCTGTATCATAAAAAAAATAAAAAATTTTTAGTTAAAAAATAAAAATAAAAATTTAGGGGTTTGAAAGATTCTCAGACTTACTGAATATGCATAAAAAATTTCAATGGAATCGGTCGAGCCGTTTCGGAGAAGTATGAGAACGAACATTGTGATACGTGATATTTATATATGTACTACATTAGGCGAGAAATAATTATAGAGAAGAAGCCTAAGTTCAAATAATACGAAACGAACGCTTTGTGCGTCTTTAAGTGTTAAAATTAAGGTCAAGAAATACGTGTATTATTAGGTACGTTATACCTATATTTATTATTATATATATTAGCAATTACGAAGAATGTAAAAAAAACAGTTAGTTTTATTCCTTCTTCCCATATTTGGTTGGACAATGTGTTAAATACATCCTTGTGTGCTTTTAATGTGCGTGCAACTAAATTGTTGTTTAGTGGAAAATTGTTTCCTAATCAGTGGCACTCGGGATTATCACATACTCAGTAAACTACTAATTAATTTGCGATATTTGTTTTAAAATAAGTGTTGACATAGTAATTTTGTACGATGATTTGCTATTTTAAAAGAGTACCGAGAGTTTTTTTACGCCGGCTTTTTCTCTCGGCCTACACCCTCTGTCTTTGCCGATGAGTAGGGATGCCTACAGATTCATATTTAATGACGTGGAAGTGATACCTGTATCTTTTATTCCATAATAAACATATTTTAAAAATTATTTAGTTATTTATTACGTGTGCAACATGCGATAAATAATGTTGTGAAACAGGCGGTTTTTCACATATAAGCTATAAGATAAGATTTTATCAGGCTACTTGAATGTTGAAAAATATATACAACAATGTCAAAATCTTCAACATCTGTTTACAAATGTTACTGCCTAATAACAAACTCTTTATAATATTACAATAAAAATAATAGAAATAAATCCTCAATTATATACATTGAAATAAATAACTAACCTTAATTACCTTAAATAATACTCTTTCTTGTTACAACAATTGTTGACACTTCACCAGGTATTGAGTGGTAGGTGGGGAATGCAATAATCTCGTGCCGTTTTTCGAGATTATTCCAGGAGCGAAACATGACGAGATTAAGAAAAGTTATCTCTTCGATTAACAATCATTTCTCTGAGAGTCAAATTAATGCAACTGCCGCGTTGTTATAGAATTTATAAAGATGACTAGGAATAGTTGAAAGGTCGTAAAATGTTCTATTTGCCTAGGAAATATGTCGTATGGAAAGAAATTAAAAACATAATCAAATGATTATATTTTCAGATACCCTTTCAAACGCCTTCACTGCACGAGCTTAATACGTAGTTTCGTATATTTCATATTAATTCGTATTTTTAAAGATTATTATATTGGTATATAATAATCATTTAAATTTCATAAGAACCTATACGGAAAAGTCTCATTTACCTATTCACATTTATTGTTATTGACTAATGATTCACGTAAAAATACATACTAGAACTATTAGAACCAGCTTCGTACCTATTTACCTTATTTGTTGTCAGTTTTCCTTACTTTTTTAAATTAAAAAGTGATCAAATCTTTCTCAAATCATTAGTTTAACAACAAAATGTTGTTAAAAAATTATAGAGTATAAAGCACTAGCAATCTTGCTTTATGCTTCAGCCTAATCAGGATAATAGCGGATTTGTAAATCATTCAATTAGATTAGGTACTCGTAGTACTTAAATTGGTTTCAAGGTCTTGAAGTGGGCGTAAGTCGACTTTTATACATATCATTCGAAAAGTAATCTAGGAATATTGCATATAATTTATTTATTTCGTCCCTAAATATTATATATAACTATAATAAATACAAAACAGACTTGGACTTTTTTTTATGGAACAGGAGGCAAACGGGCTGGAGGCTCATCTGATGTTATATAAGTGATAGTTACATTCACATTGCCAGGAAGCTCGCAAGTGGGTTGCTGGCCCTTTAAGGAATGGTACGATCTTTTCTTGAAGGACCCTAAGTCGAATTTGTTCGGAAATACTTTAGTAGGCAGCTGGTTCCACATAGTGGTTGTGCGCGGCAAAAATTGCCTTAAGAAACGCTCGGTCGTGGAACGACGGACGTCGAGGTGATTGATACAGATGGTATTTTGTATTCTGCCTTGACGTCCGATGATTAAACGCAGCTGCAGGTATATGTCCGAACAACTCCTCAACACTCTCCATACAAAAACAACAATTACTCGGAAACTAATACTAATATATATATATTGCTGAATTATAATCATAAATATATTATTATGTAAAACAACTGTATACGCTTGATTATTCTTCATTTTATTTTCAAATTTCAACCTGAGAACGTTTTTTAGAATAGCCTAACCTTTTTAGTTTTTGCTATGCTACCCTAAAGAGACTGTTCTCCAAAATAAAAACCTAAGTAACCTAAAACTATTCGTTTTTTTCTATATTTTTCCAATTTTTTTTCTCCATATAAACCGTCCTCAGAGTTTTAAGAAAATTACTCAAAAAGGTCCAGCAGTCTTCGAGTTTTGCGTTTAGCAACAAATTTTGCGATTCCTTTTTAATTATGTAGTTATGCATTGCATCACACATCTTTGAACGAGGTCAAAGGATATTACGACAACAAATTTCTCGTGCGCTAATTGCTTATTACTCTGTATTCAAAATTTACATGCCTTTTTGTTCATTATTTTAAATAGACATTTAACCTATGTATGAGAGAAGTTCTTTGTTAATTAAATACTCATTTATTTGGTCTTAGGACCGCTTTAAATTTTATATGTTATTGATATTAAATCTACAGTGTAATAGAAAAACTTACTTCTTAAAAATTGTATGGTTTTAGCAGTCTTGATTTGTTTGATTGCTATTGTCTTGATTTTAATCGATCTTTCTCGAATCACGCTATGTTAAGTTTAGATCTTTGCTAATACGTATTATTTGGGCAGTCATTATGTGAATTAAATATTTACCCATAATTTATATTTTGCATAGTATTTGACAACTAAAATATTTAAATATAATTAGCATCCTGCAGCATTATCGTGATTTTCAAAGTATTCATCTTATGAAATAATTGACAGCTTATTCTTTAATCTGAGTTGCTTCATTCGTAACGGTTTTTTTAAATTAGCCACGAATTTATAGTCTTTTATTAAAAGTTTCAATAATAAGTAATAATTAATCAAACTAATCACTTACCAATTAAATTTCAACACTAATGTTTAAAGTTTTTTGAAGGATCCTTGTAGTTTACAATTTTTGCGAAACTACCGATAATCACCGAAGAAATTTTCTTTGGGTTATAGCTCATATCTCCGTTAGCCGTTACCCCAAAACATTTTAAACTTTCTAATGAAGTATTATGACACTATGACATTGATTAGTTAAAATTTATGATTGTTTTATACCGTAACGTTTGACGTTGATTTTCTATTTGTTTATATTACAGGTAAGTAGTAAATAAAAATACATTATAATAATATATAGTTTTTTTAATAAGCATATATATTAAAAAACGTTTTAAACCAAAATAATATATATCCTAGGGAATGGAAGCCAGGAACCAAGACTATAATAATTGCTCACCCATTGTTCGGCAAGATCACTGGCACTGCGTATGAATGTTGTTTGATTACTAACGCAACAGGTAGGTATATGGAAACTGGTGTTGCTGTGCAGTTTGTGTGTACATAATATTATATGTGTAGTGCCACTACTACAATCGCAATCGTATTTTCTAAGAGTCGATAAACATATTTAGTGTCGGTAAATATAGTGTAAACGAAACGAAAGCCTTTCTAAACTTGTTTTATTCATATATTTTCTTAAGTTTACAACAAACTCCCAAGCGAAATTAAAGAGTTATCACTGAATAAATTCAAAACTCTATTTAAACGTAATAATCATTTAACCTTTCTATAAATTTGACGATTATTTAAATGAATCTAATCCTTTAATCTAAAAAGAGTGGCGGAGAGTTTCTTCTCTGCTCTATGCACTAAACTTGCGAACCGGTATTAAATGTAAATTAAGTATTAACTTAACATCTTTTCTGTTGACGTTCAAAAGTGTACTTGGTTGCCTATATGAATAAAGTTATTTTGAGTTAAGATAAGAGGTTGATCTCCTGAAATCCAAGTCATCCAAGATAAAATATTAATTATTGAATTACCAAGTGGTTAAAGACATAATAAAATTAACTATTTATAGACAATAAAGACCATTTAATTAGTGTTAATCTTGATATTATTTCGATTTTTAACATTAGGGGTGAGCGTGAGTCAACGACCTTAACCCTTATATATTGCGGTAAAAGGATAACAAACCTAAATTATTTCACATAAAGTAACTAGTGTAATAATGGCGTGAATTTTGGAAATTATTTCAGTATAAAATATATATTAGTTATTAACTAAGGTAAATTTCGTAGTCAACAATTATTATTATATCCGCTTCATGTTACCATAGACAATTACCACAATAATTATATTATTGTCTGATATTACCAACAATTTTTTATTTCAGCGCCATCTAGATTATATTATATGGTTTATGAAAGTTTTCCATAGAGTACAGAGGTAGTACTAGAAAAATATTGACGCCGTTTTATTTTAGACACGCCCTCTGTCCAATGATATGAGAGTTAAATTCAAAAAATTCAGTTTGTTGTTGTGTCTAATCGGAAACTGATTATAACGGGCGTAATTCAAGAATTATTCTCAATTTTACAAAAAAAAAACATTAAATCTATAAAGAATAAGTTGAAAATTTGTGTCTAGATATGTTAGTGTCTTGTCTAGTGTAATAATTTCGTACAAACAATTGTTAAAGTAGTGCCATGGATCCCTTCACTCAGGTAGGATTCGGCTTTTATAAGACGTTATGCATCCTTGAACTTTGTTTTAACTTAAAGTAACTGAATTTATTCTTTATAACTAATTGCAGCGTATGTTAGAACGAGCGCGTGCCAGACAAGAGAAAATTGATCAAAAGCTTGCTAATTCTGGTCAATCTGTACCAAAGAGAAAGCCGTTGGCCGAAAATCTACTCAAAACTAACTCTTCTCCTGTAAAATCGCCTTCTAAACCAGTCAGAGAGTCAATAACATCACCTAAACGCTCAATCAAGGAAACTGTTAACTGTAATACGCCAGTAATTAAGAGGGTGATAGAGAAATCGGATCGAAAAGCCTTATCACCCCAGAAGGTAAAAAACGATGTTATAGTGACGAAGAAAGAGTTTAAAAGTCCAAACCGTGGCAGTTTGACTAGAAGAAACTCTGATGTTTCTGTTGAGATTAATATTTCACACAGAAATGACATTCAAATTGAAGTGCAAGTGGAAGAAAGGGATGCTCCTATAAGCATTGTATATGACTCTTCATTAGAGAGAGGCAGTAATGTACAGATTACAGAAATTGAAGGTAAGCAAAATCAATAAATAAAACAGTGCACCTATAATATGTAGTCGATACCTACATCTATTGAAGGAGTAACTTAGTGATACAATCTGTTCTAATTGTGTGGTTTTAAATACTTGTTAGTTTCACAGTTACCATCCTTATTATTGATTTGCCTTGTACATTTCATTGCACCATTATTTGTATTCATCCTTAGTACATTCGATTTTTTATGGTCTTGTCATTAAAAATGTATAAGATTGGCTTTTTAATGTAAAGTTCACATTCTAAGTTCATTAACTTACACTATGTAAATATTTCCTGTAATTATTACTCATTAACCACTGATATTGCACCACAAATTATTTGTAAACAAAATTAACTAATGTTCTCATGGGATCGACTTCAAATACAACAGTTTAAAGTGAATTTTCTGTGTTTTTAATAAGTTGGTAAGTTATTTGTAAAGTTTAGTGTGTTTGAATATTACTATTACATTTCACTAAGTCTTAGAAACGCTTCAATTAAAGACTTGAAATTATTATGTCTAAATTTATACAAATGTTTAATGTAATTAAATTATTTTTAGCCAAGCTTATAGTAGAACTTCAGCAATTTGTAAATGTTTATATATTAACTTTAATTATTTTAATATCTATAATTTACATTTTTGTGAGATATATAGGTAAAGGTTTTATGAATATTCTTTCAAATAATTTAAGATTATTCTTTTTTGTGTGTAATTGGAGGCAAATGGGCAGGCGGCTCACCTGATGTTAAGTGATACTCCCGACCATGGACATTCTCATTGCCAGAAGGCTACCATGTGCATTGGTGACCTTTTTGTAAATTCTCCACTTTAGAAATTCACTTTTAGTTTTTGTTATAGTTGATATTAATTTTTCTGCATCTGTAGGCGTGTGTGCAGCATTTTCTGATTTATGAAACGGAAAACTAAAAATCGGCCTTTGCCCCTCTTAATCTTTTTTAAAAACTATAACACTTAATCATTCAAGCGGTGGCCAAATAGGCATCTCCTCGACAGGAGTGCCCTCAGATATCTTTATCAAATACCAAATGTATTTTTTTCTCCCCTATCCCGGTTGTTGTCATTAGTAGCAAAACATGCAAACCTACACTAAGTATAGTATATTTTTATATTTTTTCAGGTGCCAGTCCCAAAAAGCTAACGACAAAGCCAGATATGGCGGATAATAAGACTGATAAGACAAATGTGAGAACAAATTTTAAATCAAGACTGGATCGGCTTGGGAATTTATATTCTGGTAAGTTTTCTTACAATTTGAAAACATAAAATATTTTGTGACAATAAAATAGAGCTTAAAGGAACAATATAGTGTTGATTTATATCTTTGTTACCATTTATACAAGTAAATATCAGCACAAAATACTTTGTCCCTATCTCACTGATTGCATGCAAAGTGCATTTAAATCAGGAGTTTGATTCTTGGTGATAAAATTATTAAAATTAAAAAGATTTGAAAGCACTGTTTGCTTTTATAAGAATTAAGTGTCATGACATTTTGTATGTTATACTATTTATCAAACAAGAAGCTGCAACCCAACGGAGAGTTTATTGCCAGTTCTTCTTTTCCGTTCTACACCCTTGATTTGAGAACTGGCAGTAAATGTAAAATTAGAAGCATTAATATGTATTTCTTTACTGACGAGTCATAAGTGTACATTATGTTACCTATATGATTAAATGATTTTTACTTTTATATATGTCAATCTTTTTACAGCTTTTGCAAAATTATTGCTGTTTAAAAGTTTCTTATTAAAGAAAATTAATAAATTCCAGATTCACCTAACCTATCCTCACCAATACATAGAACAGAGCTAGAGTTCTCAGCAGCAACTCCACCTGCAGAGAATATTAGAAATGAACCCAAACAAGACTGTAAAAAGAAGTTTGGACGGCTAGCTGCACTCGCTGATCAGATTAACAATTGGGAAGACGACTTGAGTCATCATACCTTTGTAAGTACTTTTACATTTTTTCAACTATAAAAGTGCATAAATGTTTCTTTACCATACAAAATCTGCCTGGTTATTTATACATATTGAAAATAGTTTTAATAAAAATATTTTGGATTGTACCTACATCTAAAAAGTATATAAATTATTGATAAGTTAGTTATTAGGCCGCTTTTAACACACTTAAAGTGAAACGAAAGTAATAAGGACTAATGCAGCATAGTTTTGAGAGTTGTCATGTTTCTGAATGGGACTTAGCAAGACTTTAATAATCCCTCATCATTTTTATTTATGGTCAAGTAGTTGATTAGGCTCTGGTGTGTCACACTTGTTATTATTTATACATGATGTTTTACACTATGAGTGTAATTGCGTACATTAAAGTTAAAGGCGCGAGCCTGGATTTGAGTGCAAGACCTCAGGGTAGAGAGAGTGCTTAGCCACTAGTAGAACATTGCTCTTTAAAGTGAATTTATTGTTTTACTTGTACGAGCCAAGGCTGTACATGTTGCTCTCTCAGGCTTTCTTAGTTTTATAAGCGTGGGGCGATAACCTAATACGTCGGAGTTAAGCCCCGCAAGTATACCGAGACATATGCACTCTCTTCGACTGTTAAACTACATTCATTCCGTACATAGCAATTAACATTTCATTATTTCGCTTCTATTCTATGTTTGTACGCGAGTGGTTAATATTAGTAAAACTAAAATCCTGCAAAAAGCACCCCGATGACCCAGGAACCGTACAGATTATTGTAAATTGGTATTAATACTAATTATTTATAACAATTTCAGCAACCCGAACCAAAAAAAGTAACTCAAGTCAAAAAGAAAGAGAGAGAAGACAAGTTGGACGCATCAACACTTGATGTTTCTATACATTCCATCAATGACATAAACTCTGTGCTCAAAACTACTAAGGCAATGGTAAATATAATTATACAAGTAATGTTACATACTAATTTGTATACAACTTGGTGTTAAAAATATTTATTAAAACAATAATGCAAACTTGATACATAATTAATATTTATATTTTATAGACTAAAAATTATCAAATTTTGATGCAATTTTACACAGTTCTTGTTGTCTAGATTTCTCTTGTGACTCATATTACCACTTCAGCATATTTGTAATGAAATGAAATGAAATAGTTTATTCTTGCAAGTAGGACTATATAAATCACTTTTACAATGTCATCCTAAACTAGATGAAGTTGACATTTCCTAACTGACTGCCCTGAGAAGAAATGTCGAAACAAACTCGGGGGTCTTAGTCTCTTTTATAGTCCAGATAATACAATGTATGATATTCATTTATACTAAGTAATAGATTATAAAGTTTTTAACCATTGTAGTAGGTATTGGACTCCGATTTGTTTTTTTGTGAATTTGATTTGTGTTATTAGCTTTTGATTTTAATTTATGGCGCTAGCACGACGAACAAGTGTTAATTACATAAATATATCTATACTAATATTACAAAGAGGAAAGCTTTGTAACTAATTTAAACTGGACCGCAATGTTATCCCTGAGTGACGTAGTCAATATTAATTAACAAAAATTAAAAAATATTTCAAGCCGTGCGAAGCTTGGATAAACCGTAATCTTAATATATATAAATTACGTGTCACGTTGTTTGTCCGCTATGGACTCCTAAACTACCGAACCGATATCAATCAAATTTGCACACTGTGTGTAGTTTGATCCAACTTAAAAGATAGGATAGCTTACATCTCAATTTATATCCGCAATATTATTTTATTGCAAAATATTTGTTTATTATTTGATAGTCACAATTCTAACAGATGGCGCTGTGTTGAAAGTACCAATGTTTCACTTAAGCTACAATTTAATGGCATAGCAACCAAAAAGCTTGGTGGTCCCCATAACTGGTGTTCTCCTACCGTTTCCCGTGAATAGTTTACCACTATGTAATGTAGAATCTTATAAAACCTAAGCCACAGCAACGCTTGGCCGAGTCTGCTAGTATAAATATAAAAATCATCACACATCACTAGATCCATCTTAAGAGATTGCTTTTTTGCGTATATAGTATATTATGTTGATTGTTGATATTTATTCGCTTATACATTCAAACAACATAGTATACCTTTGGACCCTATGTGGCCTATTCATGAGCAACGAGAGTGTCAAATTACTTTTCATGTATTTTCTAAGATTTGGTAAAGATCGTTGATTAAAATTAAGATTGTATGTTGCCTTTATAATAATTATTATATTACAGTTTAAATATTTTTGTTTCAGCCTAAAAAAATCACCGAACCAAAAAACAAATGCCAGCGACTTGATGACCAGATAGTAGCCGAGTTGGTAAGTTGTAGAATTGTAAGAATTTTTCGGAGTTTATTCAGGACGAATTTTTTTTTTGTAATTAAATTAAATTTAATTTTTTAAAAGTTGACTTTTGAATGTTTTTTAACATGAATAAGGCGTAGAACATATGACAGCTACGAGGATTTTAACGCTATTTTAATGAATTTAATATATATTTCGAAAACATTACAAGTGTCATTTGTTTATTACATTTCATGGTTTTATATAGAAAATTATTTTTTTGTTGGGGTTATTTTATTCAAACTCTGGCTTATTAAAAGAATTTAATTATGGTTCTTTAACAAACATTATACATATATAAGGTAAGTACCATTTCCTGTAATATAATCAATAATTATAATAGTAATATTATATACATAACGATAACAGTTACCTAGTTGCTTCATTCTTCTTTCTTTCTCGCTCTGTAACAAATATTTTTAGAACTCAATTTTGTGAATTTTATTATTAAATTTATGGATACATTTTGAATGCTTTTAGTTTTCTATTACAGTTAATTAAATATCGACACCTCTTATTTCAACAAAACTCTAATGTGGGGAATGTCTGTTTATTTCGCTTAAACCTTCTTTCCTATGATTGGCAGCAGTCAACTTGGTGACGGTGCTTCGAAACATGTGCTATTTTATTGTTAATTTTTGATCGCTAAATTATATGAAATAGTGGTATATGGGTGACGTAGTTGCATCTATAAGAACGAAACAATGGATTGGAGATTTTTGTTACGAAAATATTCCTATTTTTTACCATTATAACGTAACGTTACCTATGCGTACACGAGCAAGGATTGCGACTGCGCGTATTCGTACAAATTATTATGTGGTAAAAGTATTTATTCTAGTAAATCACTATTAACCATTGGTTTATATTCAAGGCATTTAGATATATTATTTAGTATACGAATAGTGTAACTATATATATATATTATTCAATAAAAATAAGATCTTTAAATATTGCTAAATAAACGGTACGTTTCCGTTCAGGCAGGCATTTCTTGGTTTTATGAACACCGCTATTGTCTGTCAAGATCGTCAGTTATGACTCGTAAGTAAGCACTTTTAGTTAATAACGTATAATTTATTACTATAGTATATACTTACCACATAAATCATAAAAATTAATCACTACAATTGTTTAACTGTCTCCTTTCATTAAAGCGTAAAAACAATTTGACAGAAAGAGACGAAAGAGAACGTAAAGAGAAACTAAGTCTTCTTGACTTAGTTTTTTTGAATAAGGTTTAATTCTTCAAGAAGAGTGCGTACCAATTCTTAAAAGGCCGGCAACGCACTTGCCCTATGGTACTGTCATATATCACTTAACATCGGGTGAGTTGTTATATAAAAATCTGTATTAGTTGAATCGTTTATTCACCAATTTTTTACACTATGAATAATAAAAATAACTGTTATATTTATTTCATACTAATAATGATATTCAAATGTTGATATTGTCTTCTTTTAGTATAGGGAGCGCGGGGCTTGTTGTTACAGGGGTAAATAGTAACAGACCTTTTTCAATAGGAATTTGAATTTTATTCACGTTTTTTTTTTACCTAATCTTCAACTTATAACGTGCCACGCCACTTTACCACAGCCAGGGTCCTGCCAGGCGGCTCAGTGAGTGGGTGTGTGCAAACGCTTAATTGTTGACAGGAAACCTATAATTTTACTAACGTAAATTTTTGGTTAGTTTTACTATTTTCGTAACTTTGAAGTTTTATGTATTTTATTTTATGCTAAAATATAACTATTTATGATGTTGTATAACAGTTTTCAAGATTACTAAGTTAATTTAATATTTATCGTGATAAATATTAAGAACTATATCAAGGGGGCTAGTTGTAACAAAACCTCGGGGTTTGTTGTAACATGTTACAATTTGCCCCCAGATTGCTGTAAGTTACTGACGGCCGATGTTCAGTTTTCCCCGGCTTAAATACTCAGAAATGTTCATTCGCGGTGGACCTGAAGATTGCATTGGAGCTGGCAATTCTTCAGGGTGGAGGATGACTGATAAAGAATTTTTGATTTTTGTAGATAACTTTATCAAACACGCGAAACCTACCAAGAAAGAGCCAGTTCTGTTACTGCTCGATAATCATGGCTCACATGTGAATGTTGTCTCTCAGTTGTGAGTAGTGTCAGCTCAGTTGTCGAAAAAGCCAAAGAAAACAAAGTTATCATGTTATAGTTTTCCTCCCATTGCTCCCACAATTTTCAACCTATGTATGTAGGAGTCTACGGCCCTTTTAAAAACTACGTGAACAGAGCACAGACTGCATGGATGTATAATAATCCAGGAAAAACGATGACAATTTATGACATCCCAAGTGTAGTGAAGGAGTCATTATCAGTGGACTTAAAGCTTCTGGTATTTGGCCTTTGAATGTTGATATTTTCCAAGATAGTTTATGCGAGAGTATTAGATACTTTGCGCTCTCTTATGTAACTGATCATCCAGAGCCTACAGAACAATCAGAAAATGTTCTAAATGAAAGTGAGAATTTATCGTTGAGTCTTAAACATCCAGAACTATTAGATTCTGCTCCTGAAGTGGATATCAGCACAACACAAATTATACGCCACATTGAAACTGCGAACAAACTAACTCCAAGTTGCTCTGGTCAAAATCTATTTTTCCCATCAAAAGTTAGACCATTACCAAAGGCGCCACCACGAAAAACAAATATAAATTGCAGACGCAAAAGGAAGTCTGCTGTTCTGACTGATACGCCTGAAAAAGAAGCTTTGAGAGTAGAATATGAAGAAAAGATGAAGAAAATGCAAAAGAAGATGATAAAGAAAAGTGAAAGGGGAAGGAAAAGTTAACAAATCTGCGATGGTAAGATGTAAGGTAGAACTAAGAGATAAAATGATCCAAGATGTGAAAAAATTAAACGATTGAAGGTGTCATTTTTGTTGTTACAACTAGCCCCAACCACGGGGTAAGTTGTAACACTTCTCTTTTAGAAAAAAATAATTGTGAGATAGTTACCTGTAGATTTGATAATATTTCGATTCGACTTCATAGATAAATAGTTAGAGTATCGATCAAAGTTTATTTAGTAGTAATTTAGCCAATATTCTTCATGATATTCAATTATTTGTTAAAATTGTTACAACTAGCCCCACGCTCCCCTACGTAAGATAACCCTGAATTGTCGTAGTGCGATTTGGGACTTGCGTCTGCGAACACGTTTGAAAATAATGAGAATAATGAAGGAGTGGAGTTGTATTAGTCGTAAAAAGCTACTACTAGTAGTACTACTTCTACTAAAGCAGAAATAGACTTCGATTTTTAATGTAGTAAAATTATATTTTCGAATTATAATGCGCTGCTGTCGTGCAAAATGGACGGCATTTTATGTTCACTAATTAACTGAAAAAGGAGGCCACAATCCATTCCCCATTAACCTAGATTTAAACCTTTCATCCTACTTCATCGAGTTAATTTATATATCGCGAGATGAATTAATGAGATGACTCAGAACAGAGATAATTTTAATGCAATATTTTGTTTAAAAAATACTCACGAAAACTAGACTACTCATTAGAATGTACACTTTAGACTCTCGACGTAAACGATATCTCTCAAATAAAATTAATTGTAGCTCACTTCTAGAAAAATGCATTGCATTGCCTACCAGACTCGTAATCATGCTTTGTATCACGTTCTTCACATCAACACCAACTATGCAAAATACTCAGTTTTCTATCGCGCAGAAACCCGAACCATTAAGCCTTGCCTCTAAGCCAACACTGCTCTAAATAAATAAATATTAATGAAAAAAATGAGTTTTATCGAATAATTCAGGTCCACGCCTCGCCTGTTTAATCCACGATTTATGTCACATTGGGTGACAATTTAAATAGCACTTACGATGAATACTAATCGCGTATTACTATTGCGCACTCATTTAAATATCAGCGTTTACTTTTGATTTCGTGCATTAAGTAGTATTTATTTCTTACACATTAAAAGCTTTCGAAATAATTAAATAATAAAAAAATCCTTCGTACAATTTGACGAAGTTTTTTGTGGTTTAATATGGCTTTGACCTTAGGAGGAACACAATTATAACACATAGATTGACGTTTGTTTACGTGTTTATAAGTATGGTGCAACGCCATCTTTGAATAAAGAAGCATTTGGGCGGTTTTCTTAAATTATGAATGTTTATTTTTGTATAGGTTCCATAATAATAAACCTCTATATATCCAATCTTATTGACATACAATATACGAAAATTTATATGCAATTGTATTATTCTAAGATGAAGTCCCCGTCCGGGTAAAGCCTTCTCCAACTTTTTCCCCAGTATTTTATCTTTTATTGTCAGCATCCAGTTTTTGCCAGCTTTCATTCGCGTCGGTCCATTGGTCTACGCGTACTCTGAAATGCTTTTTAAAAATTTCAACAAATAGCCAATTGTTTGTCTATCGATTTTTAATTCGGTTAAAAAAATGTTTATTTAATATAGCACATAAATAATTGGTAGGTAATGAAACACTTTATTACATAAATAGATACATCATACTTACAAACTATGTTATACGATAATGTCGAGAAAATAAAATATTATTAGGAAACATAAAAGATAAGAACGTGTAGGTACTTTAGACTTTTAAAATCTACCGAGGTTAGGTTAGCAACAAGCCCGTTCGCACGAAGTCTAGAAATAAAAGAAAGTCAACGCCGGTGTTGCCACGCTTTATATAGGTTTCTGCTACAAAATGGCGTTAGTCCGCTAACACGGCCTCTCCTGACACCCTGACGTCCTCGTCAGGATTTGATGTTCCAGCGTCTATACTGTCATCTCTGTGGGTAGAATAGAACGTTAGAACATTACAGTTCTGGGAAGGTATTGCGTCGTCTATTTGGTCAGCAGCTGAACATATTTACTTGGTTTAATACAAACAATCAAAGTAATGAAAGATAGAAAGGAACTTTAAAGTATCAGACTCCAAGGAATGAGTGAAAGATTATTCATAACCCTTACAAGATTTGAAACAAACTAGCACTTTCATGTGTAAGGACTTGTGTAAACAATCACAAGTTTAGTATCACCATAAGAGTAGATATAAGGTATAAAGGTCTACTTATTTCTCAAGAAGATCGTGAGTTTGGGGCTAGTTACCCTGTCCATTGATCTTTTTACCATTCATAAAGGAAGATCGTGAGTTTGAGGCTGGTTACCCTGTCCATTGATCTTTTTACCATTCATACAGGAAGATCATGAGTTTGGGGCTAGTTACCCTGTCCATTGATCTTGTTACCATTAATACAGGAAGATCGTAAGTTTGGGGCTGGTTACCCTGTCCATTGATCTTGTTACCATTTATACAGGAAGATCGTGAGTTTGGGGCTGGTTACCCTGTCCATTGATCTTTTTACAATTTATACAGGAAGATCGTAAGTTTGGGGCTGGTTACCCTGTCCATTGATCTTGTTACCATTTATACAGGAAGATCGTGAGTTTGGGGCTGGTTACCCTGTCCATTGATCTTTTACAATTTATACAGGAAGATCGTGAGTTTGGGGCTGGTTACCCTGTCCATTGATCTTTTTACAATTTATACAGGAAGATCGTGAGTTTGGGACTGGTTACCCTGTCCATTGATCTTTTTACAATTTATACAGGAAGATCGTGAGTTTGGGGCTGGTTACCCTGTCCATTGATCTTTTTAAAATGTATACAGGAAGATCGTGAGTTTGGGACTGGTTACCCTGTCCATTGATCTTTCAAAAAGCAAATATTACAGAATTAGATAGCTTCAGACTTAACACAAATAAAGACAACTCAGTATTTGCAATACACCGTCGTATCGACAGTGGCTCCTAGTGCTCTCATAAGCGACAATTTTTTAAAACAGAGACTCATACATTTTGCATGTTCTCTAAGTGGTCTAAACACATTAGCACCAGAATAACTTAAAACAGAGACCCATACACTTGTATGTTCTCAAAGTGGTCTAAACACATTAGCACCACAAAAATTTAAAACAGAAACCCATACCTTTGCATGTTCTTAATAACAAAGACCAGATCA